GTATGAGAATATTAAGAAGGTAAGAATGAAAATGGACTGTTTTGAGTAGCAGTACCATTACCGAACAGAAGCATGCGCTGTACTGTAGCAGCCTCTGTGAAAGGCAGTGAACACATTCGAAAATGGTCAGAGTCATGGTCAAGGCCAAGTGAATGGGCCTTTGTCTCATCAGGCCATGTGAACTGGCCAACGCAGGGGCTGTCAGACACAGTCCTAGCAGACATATGGAAAATGTCAGAACCCACACAAAAGCGTTGCATTGAGCAGGCAGACATAGCCATATGAAGAAAAAAAAGAAACACTAAACAGAAAAGACAATCCACCTAAATACTGTATTGTTACCGAGTGTAGAGGTACCAAGTAACAATAAAAAGCTTTAAAGACACACTTTATTAGAAAGCTTAGCTTTCTAATTCACTGTACAGACATCACCTAATTAAGAAACTCAGAGATCCAACAGACGCACAGCCTGGAGAAGACCACACAGAGCATGACAAACTTTAGCACTCATGTTCCACTTGGGCACAGGCAAACTGCTAGTAAGTTACAGAACTATGCAAATGCTCATTTGCTAAAGAGATATTCAAAGTAGGGAACACTATACAGTTGGCACTGTGCTGGCTAAAGTACTCTTCGCTGGATTTTTATCTTTATTATTTTTGTTGTAAATCTAAATATAACTAAAAAAAATGTTTTTGCTATAAGGTGACAAAAACATTTAAAATATTTAACATTTGCAGGCTCTGCAAAAAACAAATTAATTATATTCTCAATTTCATATGTTAGTATTAAAACAAATCTTAAAAAAACACACTTTTTAAAAAGAAGTAAGAATTAACAATGGGACAATGTAATAGATTGGAACCTCACATCACATGGGCATTTACCATGTAAATCTTTCCCCAGATGTGACTAGTTTTCCTTGGACCAATCAGATACTGATTATACGCTCTTTTAAACAAGGCAGAAGAATCTGCAGTATCAAAATAGGAACAAGATACACTCCAATCAGACAGCCGAGCCCTGTTCTTATTCCAGATCTGTGGAAGACTATTGCTTGTGGATAATTATTGTAGTAGCCCGGCTCAGTCCATCCTGTTGTACACTCAGAGGTCTGGCACCGGCCGTACAGTAGCCAAAAACAAAAGATTATTCAAATATTCAGTCACTCATTACTATCTGCAGAAAATGAAAAGAAAGCACCTTAAGCTTAACATTGCGAACTCACAAATAATAATATGGAAGTTAGAAAAAGAATGTGTTATTAATATTCCTATTAGTAGTATTCTTGAACCCTTAACCACATCAAATTACCACATGCAACAATGACCAGTATGGTAAGACAGTAAAGAGTGTCTTTACGTTTGAGGGCCAGCTTATATCTTTCAGCTACAGTACATACACTTTGTTAATTTGGGATGTCCTTGATAAGATGATTATCCTTAGTGCCAGATATACTTCTCATCAGCCTACCTTTGAAGAATACAACACTTATGTCCAGGACTGTCAAGAACTAACCATGTCAATTTAATTTGTTCCACATATTGGCTCCTTCCCTAAACAGCTGTCCGTGATGCTGTCAATCACCATGCATAAACAGAGTTGCACTGGTATTTTCTAACATTTTCCCGTAACCAGAGTAATACAAGAGACTCATATTTACACCATAATTTAAATGAAACCAGTGCAACTCTAAAACGATTTCAGCAACTTTAATTTGACAGTTCAGTGCCAGTGGTAACAATTTATTATGGATAGTTTTTTTTAATGAATAACTCTGTGGATTTGTTAGAACACAAGAACAAAAAAAGTTTAACTAGAATGACTTTCTAAATGCCATTGAGGACTACTACTTGAAATATTTTACTATTTACTACATGTATTAGTGTAGAAAATGTGAATGTATACACAGATATAAAATGAAACAAAACTGGTACCAGACTAAAAAGCTGAGAAACAGGTATTAAAATAAAACAGTGAGTACTTCCTACTCAGTGAGTTCTTCCCTTGCTTGTTATTTTTTTATGGTGCTGTGATAAGAACCTCCCTGTTATTAACCAAATCTTTATTTTATCACACAACTAGCATATCCTTTTGGAAAGTAATAGTTGAAGAAAGCATTAATATAGGGATTAAATGACAACATAAAATTTTAGAGATCAAATGGGGCAATCAGTCATTTTTTCTGACTGTCACCTTGAGATTCTGCAGTCCTGAATTTCTCAGTTTCAAGATCTGGATGTGTCACTGTTGCCTTCTGTAGCACGTATCAAGCTTGGTTAGTATTACACAGACCCCTTGGTCTTTATCTGCTGTTGATCGTGTTCTATTCAAGATCCACAATGATGATCCCCGCATGACTACTGTCACTAAAACAAAATGAATTATTGGTGCGTGGATCTCACTGTAATGTAATGAAGGTTTAAATCACTGAAGAGAACAGGTGACTCACTACTGATGGTGCTGGGGACATGTTTTTGGGTGTGTCAGGCCTCAGGGATAAATCCCTTCCTGGAGGTCACAGGTCAGAGAAGACTCACAAAGATGTTTCCATCACTAACACTACCTGGCTTGAACAGAGAGATCTTTCTGGAGGACTGGGTTTGTTCGGTGATCCTTACCATGTTATCAATTGGAACTGAATTTTGTCGGCAAAAATGAAACTCAGCTTTCCAAACCAGAAATGCAGAGTCACACAATTGACTTACAATACCTACTGTAACTCACCTGTAGAGTTTAGGATAATGTGTATAGCATGTAGATAACTGTAAAGATGAAATAAGCAGTCATATCATCCACAGACCGGAAATTAATTGAGCAATGAGTGTTTTTTTTAATTGCATCTACTCTATGGGTTCATGCTTTGGGAAATTGGAGTTATCCATTTGAGTTACACTTCATACAGTATGGCTGCACAGTGTCCTGATAAATTACAGTGTGGGGTCACACAGAGCTAAATCTGATTCAGTGATAACCCCATTTGAGTTATTTTCCATAATTTTGTTCTTTTAATTTTGACTGCATTTTTGCCATTTATATTTTAAGAACAATCACAAAAATGTCACAATCTATAATTTTACACAATTGTATAAGTTAAGCATGTGATTAACGAATCACATTACCAAGCATTAAAGAAAATACATCATAAAGTGCATCCAGCAATGTCTAATCGATTGACAGCAAATAACAGCTACTTTGTGGGAAAATTATGAAAATGCTTCCCTATGTAACCCTTGTTAAGCATTAGGGTTTCAAGTCCCAAGTGTGTCTCGGGGTTCATGCTGTACAATATCTTTTTGGCAAGAATGAACAGTGAAATGGTTTACGTTCTAGTAATCAAAAGGGGATCAGAGGCATCACCAAGTTTGACTAACACAGAAGAAATACTTACACCTGCCTAAAAATATATTATTTACATTAACAGATAAATCTGTGCTAAACATTGAAAATTAAATACATTATGTCATTATCTTTGCCACATTTCCTAGATGAAGAGATTACTGAGTGTTTACTGAGGTAGCTTATTATTATTAGTAGTAGCATCAGTATTAATAATAATAATAATAATGATAATAATAACCATTACACAGTGTCCAATGCATTTGTTGTTTTAAAAACAAACAAAGCAGTATCTCCTTTAATGTGAAATATTTGTACATAAAGGATAAACACATAAGCTAACAAGTTGTTGAATTTCCTTTCCCAAACCTATAAAGGCTCTAATTAAGTCGCTGACTGAATTAAAACTTTAAAAACATGCTAATTATAGCTGCCACCTAAATCAACAACAGTGCTAGCATGAGCAACGGCAATAACGATGCTAGGATTAATGGAAAATGCAGTATTAATCCTCTTCTAATTGTTCCTATTAATTATTGAAGTACTGTATATAGTAAGCTATACAGTAATATCACGATTTACAGAATTACGGGCAACAGTGCAATTAGAATTTGATTGAGCTAGAACATTTAATTATTATTCATGTTATCACTACGAGTGAGACACAGGAAAGGCCACAGGGGACACTTAGCTGGTCATCTTTAACGTAGTGTTACCTAGTCAGGGCCTAATCATGCGTGTGCACTACAGGCTGTACCAGTCCTGCAAAGCTGCTTGGTGAAGTGAAGGGATTTGCTGAACACACATTTAAAAAAAAAAAAAACAAAGAAAAAAACCCGCAGCGGACCACTGTCATGTTTAAGCTCGACAGGGCTTAAACTGAACGCCACCGGCCCCAAAAGACCAGATGTAGCGGGGTAGCTGGGTTTTTTTTTTTTTTAAGAAAACGTGGGTGACGTTCAGCGTTGAGACAGGTAGCCACCAGTACAGTACCATGGACGGCACCTCCGCATGATGAAGTAATCCACACACACACTCACTACGCCGCTCACTCGCTGTGGTTTGTTGTAAAAAAAAAAAACAGAGAGAGAGAGAGACAGTCTTATCTGAGACCGACACCGACTCGACAACAACGCACTGTGTTTTGGATCTGTTTTGAACTAAATCGAGATTAAAAGAGGACCCCCCCCCCCACCCAAATCACGCCGGTGGGGTCGGGTCTCCTCCCAGAGACTGAGCCGAGAGCGCCGTGAGCCCGAGTGGCGCAGGAGACTCCCCTTCACACGCCGAAACCCAGACAGGCAGAGCCCGCAGCCGGCCCGGTGTGCCCCCCCCCCAAAAAAAATAAACAAATACAACATTAAATGGTTCGGCACTGCTTCTGGCACTGTTGTCAAGTCTTTTCAAAATCATTTTCTAACTGCCGACCACAACTGGAGGGGGGGGTGGTACAGTATATAACGGATTTTCTGTTAAAACAAAATGCCGATGATTTATTATTTTTTTCGCTGTGACAACAAACCGCATTTTCAAAACAATTACCTGCCGTAGTACAGTTTCCGTTCCCCTTGACCTTTCGGCCACAGCACCCCCCGATACATAAATATATTTTGCTCATTAATGTCTATCATCGGAGCTTTAATCGTGCTCGAATTTCTTACCAGGGGCTGCATCTCCGAATGGACTGTCGGCACTTGAAATCTGTCTATTTCTTCCATCATTTTGGCGGCGAATTGTTTTTTTTTCCTTCCCCTTCGCGGTTATTGCGATATGACAATTATATATAAAATTGTGCGGCTTTCAGATTTTAATTCGGTTTGAGGATGCTCCTGCTTTCTGCTTCATCCCAGCTACGAGGTTGATCAGCGGTGACTCAACAACTCACTTCCGGGTCCGGGAGCTCCACTTCATTACTCATTCAGTAAGGAGGCGGTTTCACTTATTCATGACCCAGCCCAGTGGACCCCGAGAGGCATAGGGACAATAACGTGTGTGTGCATGCTGTACACTGCATATAGTCAAACATATTCAAAATACGGGATAGTTATATCCATAGAATGAATAGGTTTGGAGGTGAATAACCCCATCGGCAAATTTGTTGGTAATTTGCTTTGTATTTACATAGAGACCCAATTCCCTCTTTAAACCCCGCTCCTTTTATCCTAAAAAAAAAGTTTGTTTGATATATACGCATAAAGGATCGACTGCAAGCAATAAGCGTTCAGATTGCGTCTTCATTTCGAGAGCTAACGCGAGGTCAGTCGGCGCGGCAAAGGTCCTGAGGGATACCCAGCTTTGGGTTGAACTTTTGGGGCTCATCTGATCTGCAGCTGCGCACTGGTTTAGGACACTGTCTCCTGATTGTCTGTGGCACAGAGGGCGCTAAACAAACCTACTCCTAGTAATTGCATAGGAATAGCAGAGAAGAAAGTATTCCATACAGTAACTTAATGAATGAAGGAATAAAGGATTATATTTAAAGAAATATTTGAAGTAAAAATAGGTTCCCAATTCTCACATTTTTTTGATACTCCCTATATTACTGAGTTTCTGTTATATCAGAAAATGATTTGTCTGCATTCTGGAATTTACAGTATTCTTATACCTCAGTTGACAGCTGACCTCAGCCTTTTGTTCACGTGTTACTAACCTCTGAAATCTAGTGTTGATGTGCCTGTAGGCCTAAGGTCTGCTGCTATCACAACTGTGCTACAAAAACCACTTCAGGACCTCCAAATGCTTATCAAGTGCCCCCTTCTTTTAAATCTGCCTTTTCCAGAAAACATGGTAGAACAGGCCGTTGCAGCTCTTTTAAAATCTCATCTTCCACCCTGTGTTTTCACTTTATTAGTTTGAGTTCTGTTTGACTATCAGGAACCAGTTCGTAAATCCTGGATGTTTAAAATCCGATGCTGGTCCACTTAACTAGGGGTGTTTTTCTGCTTACCACAGGGTTCTGTTCTGAAATCTTTTTTAGTGTTTCCCTGGATCCTTTTTCTTGGTCAGTTTATGTGCCATCTTGTGGAGAGTGACTGCACTTCACAGGCAGACAAAGTGCTTTTAAATCAGGTGTATTTGGATTAATTAAAGTATTTTTTTATTTTCCCTTGCATGAACCACCTCTTCTAACACCTTGTGATGAAACAGTTTGTTTCAGCTGGTTCTTGGGATGCTCAGAGCACAAAAAGGCTAGCAAGTGCTTCCAGGCTCTTGACACAGTGTGGAATTTGAGAGAAATCTTCACTGTAAAAGACTGGGCATCGTGATAAAACATCTCAACCAAAAACCTGTGCAAGGGCACCTCCTGCTTGTAGACTCTCCTGATTATGGGAAAGTATGAGTGGTATCTTATAGGTGTCAAATGTCAAGTTACCCAGCAGCAGAAACCAGTCATTTACATCTTCAAAGAACCACCCCTGGTGCCATCGTCAACGAATCACGTCCAATATTATCCCATAATCTGGATAATATCCCGTCTATATTAATGCATACACATTGTATTAATGACATCACAGGAATTAACACCTTGAGTTTTGGACTAACAGGCTAACACTCTCCTCATGGGAGTTGCAACTGAAGGGGTTTCAGCAAATCTATCAGAATCTATTGCTGTCTTGGATAAACGTTATCGATTTTAAACGTTCAACGTACTGTATATAACAAAGGAGCGATTAAAGCAGCGATAACATCCAAGATATTTTACCATAGGGCATGTTTTGCACATGCAAAACTGTAAGGACCTGATCTACAAATGCTATGCAACTAACAATACCAAATAAACAAACGCCTCTATAGAAGAGTTAATTAATCAACACTCGCCGAATTGAAAACATTCTTATTTGAATTTTAAAATGTATTTCTTTAGAAGGAAAAATAAAACGAAGACACGGATCAAATGTATGTTTTTCAGAACTGATTTTGTGACATTTCAAATTAAATTTCAAACTTTAAAATGTTAAAATAAACTCAATTAGATGTGTTATTTCTGACTGTATCACTGCAGTAGTAACACGATTTTGTATAGTCCTTAAATACCAACAATGACGAGCTAAAACTAATCTAATTCATGTGTTTGTGTAACTGAATCTGACTTTTAAAATTTTTATATTTATTATTGCGTTTATTGAAGGACAAGTGTTCTACACAAAAATGATTTGTAAAAACGCATAAAGAGCTAGCGTAATATGGTGTATTTCAATATAAGATAAAGTGTTGAATTCAAAATAATGCAATGCTGTAAGTTATACACAGTAGATCAATGCAAAAATAAAACGGAAATGGTACAGGTACATTTTGTAGCTACAGTTACAAATTTAAAAATAATGTCATTTTAAATTAAAGATAGTTCAGCTTCGCTTCCGGAATATTACACGTGATCTCTGGAAGAAGTTTTTTTTTCTGTTTTCAAGCCGCAGTTGATCAGGTCTTGGTTGCCAGGGGTAACCGGTGTACACTTCTGCAGTTCGTGTTGTATCTCTGAATAGCCGCCTGTTCAGCTTCAGTAACTGAACCCGCCAGGTTACGTTTTTCTTATTTAGTAGTGTCATATAAGACAACATAAGGAGAAACTTTGAAGATCATTTTTTCCTTCATTTGTTTTTTTTTTTGTCAATGGCGTTTAAGTTATAGGGGGACTTTTACAACGGTTACTCTGAAAACAATGCCTGTGCCACATAAAACAGGAACCGTGAAATCCAAGCAGGTAACATACGATACCTTTTCTTTTCTAATTTTCACTTATATTATTGAAATATAAAGATACAGCAGCAAAAATGCAAACATACTGTATTAACCCAAAACACATCAGAGATAAGATACTTGAATCTTCCCGCGTTCTTAAATACAATTATTTTAGTGCTTATTAGATACCTGTGCAAACTTTTACGATTTAAAATTTGAGACTCAGAAACGGTTTATCGCCATAAACAAATTCCTTGTTGGCATAAGACGGTCGTCATTCGCAGTTTAGTTCCCCATATGTTTGTCTTTATTTAAAAACGCCTGATGAATTACTTTCTTAAAAAAGATATACATACTGTACTTTATTTCTGTGCATGTCAATGGTGACTGAAATAGCCCGTGAAATAATGAAATAAACAGCAGTAGCTCACAGCTTAGCTGAGCCGTATCCAGCCTTTGGAATACCAATATTGATGTAATCGAAGTACGATGATCATTTCCAGACTAATATTAGTGATTTATGGAAACAATAAAACTAAAACAGCGTATAGTCTATATTCATACAGCACACGAGGTCTATTGATATTTATGTTGCTTATGCATTTCAGGGCTCAAGTCAAATCCCACCCAATACGGTCAAGCCACTCCCTGCAAAGCTTGCAAAACCTGCAGGGAAGAAGAAGGTAAGAGAGGTTACACTACAGCAGTGTAGGGACTGGAGGGCCGGTGGAGTTGGCCTCCTCACTGGAAGATTGTGGGTTCAAATTGTCGGTGGGGGCATCGATGTTGTTCCTTTGAGCAAAGTACTTCACTCACATTTCTAGAGTAAGATTTTCTGCTTTCGAAGTGGATGTACAGGTAAATGTTGCTTTGGATAAAAAGCGTCTGGCAAATAAATTGGTACGAACTTTTGTCTTGAAATAGAGTATAACAAGCTTTCACTGCTGTTTTATTTGCAGTGAAGTGTCAGTGATGCGCCATACAAACATAGTCTAGCGCCATTTATATAACATTTCTATTGTTTTACAATACAGAGATGGATTTACTGAACTAGTTAATGAAATAGTCAGAGAATATTATATCCTGGGTGATGAACATAAGATAGTTTTATTATGCCTAATGGCTGAAGTATTGAATAGCGGAATTATATGGTACTATCACAAATACCTAAAACCTCATCTCTTTTTGTAGAACTGTCTTGCATAACAGGAGTGTGCCAAGTGCATTAACATAATTTCTGTATTTTTGTAGCGTTTTAAAGTATCTATAGAAATTAGACCCAGTGTAGATATAGGCTAGCAGTGATAATAAAATAATATATTCAACATTGTTGATAAAATCAAGTCCACTTAATTTGGATGTGCAGCTAACAGTTAAACCTAAAAACCTAACATATGAAACCTCACGATTACAGATTTTGCAAAACAGTTAATCTTTACGTTTTTTTTTAAAGCAAGACACATAAATGTAATAGTCAAAGTACAGTAGTAACTGACAACTGGGAACGATGTGGCTTGGTTTGCTTCGTTGTAAAACTCATGTAATTTGACATCTGAAGGTGAAATATCTCTAGTAAAAAAGACAACTGCACTGTAATGATCTGTCCCCTTACTTCAATACCTGGAAAGCTCAGCTAATGTGCACTCATGTCTAAAGGGAAAGAAAAATGTTCAGACTCAACCTGTATTACTCTTGGCTGCTGTGTAGGCCTTGTCTTTTTGAAGAAGCACCATGTCTGACTCTTGTATTTTTCAGGATGACGATGATGGGACTGAGATGGGTGATGGGACGGAAGAGTGGATGCAGGGGAAGACTCTTATCAAACCACCTGACCAGCTGGAACTCACTGAAGCTGTATGTTCTGTGATATTATTAATATTTCACCCACCAAACATTTATATATACATACTGTAGGTGCAGCTCATACTCAATCACAGGATACAGAAAATAGTGAAACTGGTGATGCCATTGTCCTGTCCCACTACAAATAAGCAGTGGAGTAGTTGTTAGGTCTCTTGTCTCCATAGCAGAGTGTTGTACAGCAAATTCAGACTAAGATGCTGCTGCTGTACCTTGCAAGGTATTTCAATCAGATTACTAGAGTACATACTCTGGGTTAGGCCTTAATGTGGTTCACAGTCACCACCATACATAAGAATTTCTTCTCATTTGCTTTATCTAGTTAAATAATGAAATAAAGGATTATTAATTTGACAGTAACTTTAGCTTCAACCTAAGGCTACGTTAAGTACTTTATATCTGAGATTTGTAGGACAAGCAGTACCCAATGATTGATACAGAAATCAGCTATATTTTGTTCTTTAAATTGAAAAGATATAATGATTGGGTACTAAGGTTTTGTCTTAATAGATCTAATTAAAAAAATGTTTTACCTTGTTTTAGCATTAATAAGTCTACAGCTGGAGACATTTACAGCCTTTCTTGTTGTAACTAATGTCGTCTTTTTTCAATACAGTGGTTTCGAGCACTTAAAAACAATAGTACTGATGTGCCTGGGTTTTTCAATATTTTATATAATAATGCTTGTTACAAAAGTAATTTAAAAAGACCCATAATAAATTAAAGTTTATTAATAAAACCATTCAGGGTATCAGGTTACTGTTTGTTCCTTCATGTGATGTCTTGTCTTGTTTTATGAGTTAATGAACTCCTGAGCATCCATTATTTTTATTATTTACAAACAGTCACAGAATGAGAGTTAACAGTAATAATATACAGGATGGAGATTAATGAGATTTGTTTTAGCTTTACTAATTTATAAGTAATATATGGGATATATTATAATAGATGTATTTATCCTTCCCTTACTTAGATGCATAAATGACATAAGCTGGTTTTTACATTTTGTTATTCAGAGATACATTTTGCAGTTATAATTAATATGAAACTTTTTAAACAGATGTAATCAGGAAGCCTTGTAGAGGTATTTTTATTTCTTAGAAATACTGCATGGCTGATTAGGATGAAATACCGTGCCCTCCAAAGTATTGGAATAGTTCAGCCAACAGCAAAATGCAAACTGTAATTTTTGTTTTACAATTTCTGTTTACTTTGTTTGAATTAATCAACTATAGTTACATCAATAATACAGATAAATAACCTCAATACAGACAAATAAGCAATAACTGGATGTCCAGGCCATTAAAGTGCCTTGGATGAGAGTTTTGTGGACAGAAGAGACCAAGATAAACCTTTTTAAAAATGATGGAAATGTTAAAAGTGTGGGGAAGGAAAGAGGGTGCAGTTGTTCCAAAGAAGACCACCTCATCTTTGAAGCATGGCCTAAGCATGCATAATTGCCTAGAACTGGCTCACTCATCTTTATTGATGTTGTGATTAACGATGGCTACAACCAAATGAATTCTGAAATTTACAGAAACACCCTTTCTTCCCATGTAGCAGAAAATACTTCCATACTTATTGGGTGTCTCTTCACTATGCAGCATGACAGTCACCCAAAACATGTGGTCAGTACAACCAAGGAGTTCATTGGGAGGAAAAAAAAGGGAAATCTTAGACTGGCTAGGCCGACCTCCGGATTTGATTCAAATTATATTTTTACATGCCAAAGAGAAAAGTGCTGTTTTAACGACCTAATAATTGATAAGAACTCAAAGTGGTTTTAGCAAAGGATCTAAAATGATAACATAGAGTTTGCTAAGTCCAAATGGTTGTGGACTTCATGCAGTTATTACTTTATAGGGATAAACCAGCAAAATGGTGACTTTTACATTCTGAAATTTTCTTAGATTAAATGGTCCCAATATTTATGGAAATTCAAAATCACCGTTTGATCACAGTTGTTTTTTTGTAATATGATCAAATGTATGCATGACATTCCCCAAAAATAAAACTTATAATTCAATTATCATTCATGTGGGAAACTAAAATTAAACGACAGTATAACTGTGGGAAAATTAACTGTGTTTATTTCTAAGCTACGTGAAAATTTGTTATAAATCACAGTCATATGGGTCTTTAATAGTATTATATTTGAATTTTAAAAAATGAACACTATTAAACTATACCAGTTTGTAGCTAATTTTGTATAGCTTCTTTAAAAAGCCATAGTAATTTTTTATTGTGGAACCTGAAGTCCCTTGAATTGTTCAGTATTCTGCATAAGAATTCCGAAACTGCTACTCAGTTAACTTAATACTCAGTGGACTTTAAATCAGCCCCAATAAGCTGTCTTATCCATCATAAACCAGAGGTATGAAAGCACAAAGCTTTTTGATTTAATTTTTTCCCTCTGGTGACTGTTTAAAACTTTCTACTCTAGGCTGTAAATATGAAATAACTAGGGCTACCATTACTGTGTTCTATTGAAGGTGAAATTTGGTAGAATTAGCCTGATTGAGTCACATGAAATCAGAACTTTCCTGCCAACTCTTGTACTGAATATTTTTGTGTTTTGTGAAAGCTTTGCCTTACAGTACATACCATTGATACATAATACCCTTGATACTGAGTATGACAGAAGCCGGAAATGCTTGGTAGATCCAATGCTGAAATCACATTCTCACAACAGGTGTCACCATTGTCTCAACAAATGGTACACAGCATTCCCACTTTAACAATGTGCTGTATGCTCACTGGACAGTTTGATATTGCTTTGCATTTATGGTGTGTCATGACAATTCTGGATTTTGAAAATTGTACATTTCCAGGAGAATAATAATAATTATTTGTATTTTTTAGGAGCTGAAAGAGGAGTTCACCAGGATTTTGACAGCAAACAATCCACATGCTCCCCAGAATATTGTTCGCTACAGCTTCAAAGTCAGTACCAGTTCAGGACTTTGCTCCCTCAAATACACTTGTTTATAAGCAATGCAAATTCATACACATCACATATTGATATTTTGTAGAAATGTTACAGTCTGTGACATTTAGAAAAAAAATGATATAAGACAGGTAAAATATTAAACAATATTCACTTTCATCACATTTTGAAAAAAGTACTGTAACTAAAAGATCATATACTGTAGAAGTACTATGTGTGCTTGTGTTTTTATATTAACTATCCTGAATTAATTCTTGATTGTTCTGGGTTTGATAAGGAATTAATTTAAGAAATGTGAAAGTCCTATAAGCTATCACGACAGCCTGTTTAAAAAGAGTTAAAGTTTGGGTGATCTTACTGAAACCATACAGTAAATCAGAGACCATAACCATAAACAATGAAAAACAGCAATATCAGTTTTTAAGTAACATCACATTCCTTTTTTTCAAGTTCATGATCAATAATTAAACACTTGGGTGTCAAATATATTTGCTATTAAACACTTTTTATATAAAAATCAAAATAGGTTAAATGTGAAGACACAGTTTAGTTCTAAAGTTAGGAATACTGCCCATCTTTAAAGTTGTAATCTAACAGTATTTCTTATCTCACTTTAACAAAATGCTTTCATTGCTCAGGCGTGAAGTTGCCTTATCTGTGATAGAGATTGCCTGTCATTTACAATAGTTTCAGTACGGTAGGTTTCTTAAACAGAATAAATCCTTATCAGGTTTTCCTAGGACACCAGACTCTCTGATGTAGTCATACTGTAGCACAACGGTTGTCCTTTTGCTAGTAGCACATGATAATTTAAACTCTTTCTGTACCACCTATCCACTTCAGTATCCAATTTGCATTCGATTTTCACATTTTGAATGATCAGAATTGTATCAAATCTGCAGATGCAGGGAAGCTGATATAAATATTGTGTAATTGTGTCAAAATGATGTACACTATTCCCTCATTAAGAAAGTAGTTACTGTATAAGTAGTCGCTAAAATTAGACAAACATATTCTGTACTTACCTATATTTGTCACCTTCCCCTACTAATACAGTATGAGCTCCAAGCACGTACAGTATCTCATTCTTCAGTTTTTCTTTTTCACTCCTCTCAGCTGTTGTTATCTTAAATATCTTAACAGTCTTAACAGAGGTTGTAAGGGTATTGTACTAGTTACAGTACGATGTAGAAAACATTTTGAATGCATAGTTAACATTAAAATTTTAACATTTTATGTAAAACACAATTAAATGTTTTTTGATTAGGCACACTACAAATACACAATATTGATATCACCAGACATTGTGATGCTACATCTTAATTTTACAGTTATAGGTTGTATAGTCTTTGACGGCATACATTTACATGTATGTTAATGGGAATGTAGTATCTGTTGTTTTTGCCTATGTAAAGGCATTTTGGAACCATTTGTGTTTGTACTGTATAGTAAAGGATAATTTTAGGAATTTGTGTTCTAGGATTAGTTATGAACAAACTTATAAGGTCTTATAAAAACTTTAAAAAGTGCTTATTTTCAAGGAACGTGCATATAAACCCATCAGCAGTGTTGACCAGCTGGCTGTTCATTTCTTACTGGATGGTAATATGCTGCACAAGGACTCTGATGAAGCCAGGCGACAAAGAGCCAAACAGGGTGTCCAGGAAGGTATTGTATCCAAATGATCAACCAGGAATAAATAGCTAACAACACAAATTTAATGTTTTTGCTTCTGTATACTTGATGTCTGAATGCTGAGCTGCTTGAATCTGCTTCTGTATTGTGCTAAGTACCACTAAAAGAAGTGCTTTATAGATGTGCTTTTGGAAACTTTAAACAAAAAAAACTGTATATTCTTCATGTTATCTGTTGCTTTATTTAATCAGTTAACAAATAAAGACATTTTTGTTGTTTTCAGAAATAACTACCATTGAGTCTGCAACAGCAGAGGCTGAAGAAGAAAAGGCAGAAACTCCGGTAACAGGAATTGTTATGCTAATTCCATCATATATTTTAAAGCAACCAATTCATCATGTTCATTAACCCTGTTGTTTTCCACAGATATCTGCAGCTAATTTCATGTTGGTTCCTGACCTTTGTATTTCAGTGTCCCATGTTCATGATAAGTTCATATTTACATATTTACAGAACAGTAAAAAGTAGAGTATCTTTTCTGTCTTGTGGTTTTTGAAGCAAAACAAACCCAAATTGACTCATTTGACTAAAAAGCAGCATTCAGGGACTTTCAAGTTTTGTCAACAGGTTATTGAGACTTTACCAGAAGGCACTCATTGATCCTCAGTTCGTCATTGTCAATGCATGTATAGCTGCTGTAACTTACAAAAGGAATTACAGAGAGTTCAAGTGCTATGAATAACGCATATGATAAACAAAGGTACAAACCTCAAATTTAAAACCTTAAAAGAGCCCGAGACTAGCATGCCTATCTGTTATACAGTACTGTACTGGCACAGTCCTCAACCTGTCTGTGTTTTATTGCAGGCTGGTGGGGAAGAGATTGGAGAATCAGAGGAAGGAGGCAGTGGGGAGCGTGCCGACAGTGCTGAAATCACAAACAAGAAGGAACAGAAACTCACCAATCAGTTTAACTTCAGTGATAGAGCCTCCCAGACATTGAACAACCCCCTAAGGGTAAGAACATTTTTTCCAATGGAAAACAGACAGTGCTCTACCAGTCGGCTTGGTGTGGGGGGGTGTATTTCAATTGATTTGGTTATTTAAATTACCTTGCGCAAAACTCCTACTTAGCCGTATCAGGTCATTGAAGAAGGCATCCAGGAAAATGTAACAATATCTCCTCTTGGATTTGGCTTTCATTTTTTTTATTATTCTGTGTTATGTGGATAGGAAAAAAACAAAATTTCACATTTTGTTAGTTTAACAATTTATAAAAGTTGGTAAAATTAATTAGATTTGTGGGAATGTAATTTGTTATTAGTGTCTCTGGTGAAAAGAAAAATGTTTATAAGAGGATTTTTGACTTTGTCAAAGTTTGTTAAATCAGGAAGAGAAAATATGTCTTAATTATTCAGTTGTCAAAATTTGGTTTGATTAAATAAGAAATTAAGATATGATGGTGCAATAAGTGCAGTTGTATCTACATGCAACTAATGCCATATTTTAAAACAATGAAGAATTACTTTAATGAGTTTTCTTTTTATAATATTTCATTTTTATTCAACATAGGTAATTTACAGAATAATATCTGAAAGGGTAATATAGAACCCAAATTTGTAGAAAACAATATTGTCACTCACTGTATTTATTTTTTCAAAGTATTAGAAGTGTCTGTTTCATTAGTTCATAATATCTGAAATTAGTTGTGTGGCACAACAAGGGGGTGTGTTCAGCGAAGCCCTGGATTTAGGGGCGATGCGTTGCCTTAACAACTATAGCTGACCTGGCTAATTTAGGATGACACGCAGCTGTGGATGCCTTAAGAACACGCTGAGCACTTCCCTGGAGGGGCGAGCAAGCAGGACTACAGTCCTGATACCCCAGCAATGGGACAACATTCCAGCGACAGTCCTGGGGGGGATTGTGAAGAGAGCATTGAGGCTGTGTTTTTCCTTCTTTTTTTCTTCCCCCCTGTGATGATTCACTGGGGCAGGTTGAGCTTTCTTTTGTTTTTTGCCTCGTTCCTTTTCAATACAGAAGATGCAGGTGTAGTGTATCACCCAGGTGCTGTCTAGATTAAGCTATTCCTTCAAAGAGTGTAGCTGTGCAAGGAGAGAGCGCATTAGTGATGCCACTGTGAGGCCAATGATGGCTTTGAAAGAACTACAGAGCCCAGTTGCTGAGCTGGAAGAAAATGTCCATAAGCCAACAATAGTTGAGTTGTCGAAATGCAAATCCACAATACAGACATTTTCATTATTTTCCTTTTAAATTTTTTTAACTTAAAATCTAAAAGTCTGTAGAAACCTAAAGAACAGTAAGTAGACTATCTTAAAGTGCTAAATATAACCGTTCAGAAATTTTTATGATTGCTTTTCTACAAAAGACTAATATGGGCTGTATAGTGCAGTTTCTCTTCTTGGTTTACATATTTGAAAATTGGGTAACAAGAACATCATCTCGTACAGAACATGTATTTCTTAAAAGAAATAAAAGAGAATGCTTGCTGCTTGCTTCTCTTTGTGTAGGCGCAGAATAGCACAGAGTCCCCTAAGCCCCTAGCCATCTCTTTTAACTTAATATTGTCCATGAGATATATGAGCATGCATGGCTAAAGTCATTTTCCAGTTATATTCTGGTTGCTTTAACAGGTTTGCAGTGCTTCCCAGACCTTAATGTCTGCTGTAAATTATAGTATCAGAACAATGTTTTTCATCCTTTCACTGATTTGTGGTATTAAACCCTCACCTATTGTGTGTTTTCTGAAAGATTTTTCAAACTTGACTAATGATCAGATATTTTTGTATGTGAATTTTATTTAGAAAAAATATGTTCTTTCTGTATAGAGCAAATACTATAATGACATTTCTTTCTGTTTAATTGTTAGGAAAGAGGATCGCAGACTGAACCCCCTCCTCGAGCCAATTTCTTAGCAACAGCCAGTCAGGTAAAGTATTTGATTTATTTTTTGATGATTATTATTTTAACACAGTAGTTTAAATTATGCTTTTTTATTTTCTTTAATAAATCTTGCAAGTATCCCAGCTGCAGTCTTACAAGGATAGCTTGCTTCAAAGTACTGCAGTTCAGGCTGTCTGGAACAATGTTCTGATTTTTTTTTACTTCCTTATGAAGAAACATTGTGTTGTACTATTGCAAATATTGTTAACCAAGCTCTAACACAGGTGTCTGGGTACATTACCAACACAAATTTTAACTGAACACATAACACCACAAAAATACAATACAAAGACCAAATTTGTAAGAAACCATGATCATAAAAACCAGTTTCAGCTGCCTGAGTTTTCCTACCTCAATGTAATATTCATTCTTATGCTATGGTCAGAGTGCTAAATAAAACCACTACGGGCACTACACGGTTTAATTCCTTATTTCTTCCCACTACTGCTCTCACAAAGATACTCAAAACATAACTACAGATATTAATGCCAGCCTTTGATTCTTTATTTATTGTAATCTTCTCTGAATTATGGTGCACTAGCAAGTACAGAAAATGCATGTGGCTCACTCCAATCCATTTACATCCACACACCCAGACAAATCCCAAAGGAGCTCTCATTGTTCTTCAGTGCCTCTTTTTCCTCATTGTTCCTGGTTTGTAATTGCTCCTGCTGCCTGTCTACACAGTGGGACATTTATGATGCCTATGTGGAGGAGCTGCAGAAGCAAGAGAAGAACAAGGAAAAGCAGAAGGCAGCCCCAACTAAAAAGGAGGAGGAAAAAAACAAAAAGAAGCTGATGGTGACTGAGACACAGGTACAGATTTGTGGGGATCTTAATATACGTAAAGATACAGTATAAGCATTGACAAAGCTGGAATAAAAAAAGTACTTAAAGTTTTGAAGTGAACAAGTATTGACAGTTACTTTTTGTAACTGTATGTAAAATAGAAAGGTGTTCAATATTGTGACAGGAGTATAAAACACTTACTTTCCATTGATATAAGGGTGTTATTAGGATGGCAATGTCTGACATAACTAAGCATTCCAAGTTTTTAAGCAGAGTTTAAGGAGTAGTTGCTCTGCTTTCTAATAATTTAATTGAAAAACCCAAAAACATAACTTTTGTATTAGTTGCATTCTGCCCATTCTTCTCCCCCTATTCTTTAGTAAAAGCCTGGTAGAGTCTCAAAATGGATGTCATAAACATATATGGAAATAGTGTCTTATAGTATCAATTGTCTTTGTCATAAGAGGGGACTAATAAAAAACATTTTTTTCTTCAGAGTGATGACATCTCAAAGGTGGGAAAGGTGGCCAAAATCATTGAACGAATGGTGAACCAGAATACATTTGATGACATTGCACAGGGTATATTACTGTTTGTATTATTTATTTTAGTTAAATTACCCTTAGGTCAATTTATTTCATTTAATATCTTAAACCTTAGTACTAGTAGTGCTTCTTAGAATAAAAAAAATTGGGTTGGGTGACCATTTTTTATAATGAAAATCATAAAGCTATCACTGTATTTCTTTATGATGTTTTATGTCAATGATAAAGTACTGTACATAGCAGAGTATGCATTTACAGGGTATTGTGACTGAAGAAATCTCTAGTATACTATTTATATAATACCTTTATGCAAGCTGAGCATGTGGATAACCTGTTTCATTTACTATCCATTTTGACAATGAACTTTTGGTTTCTGTGGGGTCTCTTTTCCTGTGATTCTCATTATCAGAGCTACGTGAGTCTTTCATTTTTCACAAACAAAATGGCCATTCATTTTTCAAATCCTCAGTAAGGCAGACCTGTATGTGTGAAATATGTTCCTTTCCTCAGATTTCAAATATTTTGAAGATGCATCTGATGAGTTCAGGGAACAGGAGGGCACTCTGCTCCCACTGTGGAAATTCCAGTATGACAAGGCAAAAAGATTAGCTGTGACTGCCCTCTGCTGGTAAGTAAACTGTAACATTCAAAATGTTGGGTTTTTTTTCCCCAGACATAATAATAAATAATTTTCTACACTTATCTAGCACTTTTCTGGACACTCCACTCAAAGTGCTTTACAGGTAATGGGGACTCTCCACCACCACCAATGTGCAGCCCCACCTGGGTGATGCAATGGCAGCCAAAGTGCACTAGTCTGCTTACCACACAGTACTGTTCACAGTAATGAAAACAATTCAAAGATCAAATATGGCCATGACACCGGTGTAAGACCCCTATTCTTTTCGAGAAATGCCCTGTGATTTTTAATGACCATCGAGGGTCAGGACCTCGGTTTTACATCTCATCCAAAGGACGGTGCCTTTTTTTACAGTATGGTTTACCCATCGATATGCTGGGACATTAGGAGAAACATAGACAGCAGGGTTAACGCTTCAGTGGGTTGCCAATTGTGAGTTGCAGGGTTATCAGGGTTATATTGCCACTGGCCGTGGCTTGGTTACTAAATATCTGGTCATAATCAAAAACTCAATTGCTTCTTCTGTGAGATTACTGAAATATTTCATGATCAAGCTGTAACACGTGTTTGAACAGCCCAAATAGATGTACTGTAGATAAGAAACACTAAATGTTCAGTTCTAGTTTCCAGTTCCAGTGAGCTATTCTGTCAAACAAGCTTCTCAAAATGTATGAAAGTACTTGAGAGATTTCACAACATGCTTTTGCTGACATGGTGAGTGAGCATGACTGTTAATAATCTAAATAGAACAAGAAATAATACAATAGTAGTAAATAGTAATTTTCCAGCTTATCATTTGTAAAAGAACATTCAAATAGCATAATGTACTTTAATATCTAAAACAACCAGACAATCTCAGAAGGCTTAAGGAAGGATACAGTCATGGATACAGAATATTTCATTACTGATGAAGTCATATGATGAAGAGTTGGTTAATCTTATCTACATCCTATATGTGACATTTACCTGAAAATGGAAATTTTAGGTGGGAAGGGAAACAAGGTAGTGTTTGCGTGTAGAAATTACACATATTAAAGTAGTAGGAAGTAGACGTTTTCCTTTTCACTGACCACTAGGTTGCACTACTGCTCTTGCTGAAAAGCCAATTTTATGGATTTCTGAAATACTACTTGCAAAATAAAAAAAAGCTAATATGCTTATCTTATTTTTTAATTAGTGTAGTCCAATGTTTGATTGGAAAGCCTGTATCCAGTCTTTTATGTAAAATATCACTTGGCTTTCAGAATTATGATGAGAAAAGCTATTTGCAGACATTCATATTGGGAGATTACATAAATTCTACAATTTATATTTAAATGTTTATCTTCTGACTCAGAAATAATAAAAAATATTCAGGTATATTTGAGTTTCACCTTAAATGAGCGATTAACTAATACTTTGAAGATTCTATGACTATTATCAAGGATGCTGGCTGAGAAGGCAAATGTCCACAACATCTGGGGCATGCCTTCAGGTCTTGTGGAATTTTAAAGGGCAGAGTGAGTTTAAGTAAATAAGTATTTATGGAAAGTTATTAAATTAAATGCAGGTATGGATCATAACTTGGAAATGGAAGGGGAAAGTAAAGATGGGTGTTCAAATGTTTATCATCATTTAGCATATACATTCAGCAATCTTAATGTATATTGTCGGAATTGTCCGTTTAAAATATTTGAATCACAGAGCACTTAAGCATTGGATACAGAACAATCAAAGGTGGTTAAGGTAACAAGATACTCATTGGTTATTTGTTTTGTACATAGCTAATGTAATATTGTAATAATAGTAATAATTATTATCTGCAATTTCCCTCACGGGATCAATCAAGTATCTATCTATCTATAACTAATATTAAGGCCATGTAGACATCACTTTTCCACATAACTTTCAAACAGTTTCAAACCTGATTACGCATGTGTCCCAGTGTGACACTTGCGTCAGATTGGGTGTAATAAAAATCTACCAAGCTTCTGATGTCAAGATCTAACTCTCTGCATGCTGCACATCACTGCACTTCACAAATATTGGCTAGACAGATTTTTTCTTTTTATGATGAACAGATACATTTCCTTAGTATCAGAACTCCCAATAGAATTCATGGATGCAGATACAGTATGAACAAAAATGTCCTGGCATATTTCTGGTACTTCTTCATATTAGATATGATTCCAAAAGATAGACTACTGGTCATAAGCATCAGATAACATAACCTCAGCTCGAATCAACAGTGTCTGACCTCTGTGACTCATCCTGTGTGCTGTTGGAATGCCTTCTGTAGTTGAGTTAAATAACAACTTTTTAAGATGCAGTTTAAGCCTGAATACATTAAAAAGTGTTGGCAAATAGAAAAAGTCAACTTATGCTTTTGCTTTCATTGCTATATTTTCATAAAGGAATCAAGTTATTTGTAATGTATTTAATGTTAGTTTTTAAAAGCCACACCTATACTGTTTTCCAGCCCTTAGCTATACTTGACTCATTGTGCTTCCTTTGTTGAACTAAGACCAGTTCTTCTTTGTACTTAGGCTTGAATCCAGTTTATGTTGGAGGAAATTATTTTTTCCTGTATCTTTTCTTAAATAGTCAGGGTCAAGGGCGGATAATATTTAATAAATAACAACACTATTAAAACATATATACTGTATAATGTTCCAATATATGATTGTCACCTCTACAATTATTGGCACCATTGATATAGATGAGGAAGCACAGGTAATAATCTATATTTTATGCTCAGAAATATGTGAAATTATAAGAAAGTACAGTAAACATAAAATTAAAGTACAAAAAGTAAAGTAAAATGATTGTATTAGGGAAACAATTAAGAAGCTTAGAACCACTGGAACAGTGGTAAACATGCCTGGGAGAGGATGTACGTAGGTGCACATTTTCCCCATGACAGAGTTCAAGAGGCAAAGTAAAATCCAAGGGCCATAGCTAAAGAATTATATGACTTGATTTTCTAATCTGCAATTAGTCACCACCTCTGCTGTGCCAATAGGCTATTAATTTACTGAGAGCAACCAACAAATGTAAAACACCTATTTTTCAATTGACATTGGTACTTGGATTGGAGCCTGGTCCTATGGTCAGATGAGAGCTCTTTGACATCAAAAGAAAGATGTGTGTTCAGAAAAAATCATACCTACTGTAAAATATGGTGGTGGGTCTTGATGTTATGGGGCTGTTTTACTTTCACTGCTCTATGAGCCCTTGTTGCTGCCTCAAGGTTCCACCAAGTACTACTGTAGGACATTTTAGCCAAAAGCCTAGCTTAAAAGTAGCCAAATGTTGATCTTCCAGCAAGACAGCAACCCTATGCAAGCATCAAAATCCACAAATAAATGGTTAATTGACCACAAAATTAAGATTTTTTAATGGCCATCTCTGGATTTAAACCCCATTGAAAACCTTTGGTTTGAATAGAGGGCAGTCCATATGCACAAACCGAAGAATATCAAGGATCTGGAAAGAATCAGAATGGTTTTATAACGTGTACACCAATCTCATAAAACCTTATAGAAAAAGGCTGATTGCAGTTCTCCTTCCAAGCAGAGTGTGCATCACGACCGAAAATAGGGGTGCTGGAAATTGTGGCACTTATTTTTTTCTGAATAAATTTATAATTTGAGAAATTAGTAGTAGGAGATATTCCACATGTCTAAAATTTAAAATATAGCTAATTATACGTGTTTTTATTGTATACAGACTTGTATACAGAGTTTTTTGTTCATCTTTATTGAAGGTGACGATAATTGTGGAGGTAACTGCTTGTTCTTTTTGCTCTTTTGTAGGAATCAGACTTACAAAGACTTTTTTGCAGTGGGACATGGATCCTGTAAGTATATATTTTATTTTAAATGTCTACTGATTAAGAGTAGCACTGAATCTCAAGGAACTTAAACATCTTTTTAGGTTTAAGACCAGGGTTATTACTGAATTAAATGTAAAAATCAAATACATCTAAATATATTTAAAAATTAAACAGAAATATAAAATGAATCTTCTGTAATTACTTTTCTTTTTTACATTGTTAATTTATAATTTCCATTCTCTTCACTAATTGAACTACAGAATACATGATATTGCGACTGAAACACATTGTGAGTTTGCCATGTGTTACATTAGTTCAGACAGATGCGTTTTAAGTTGTTACTGAATATGTAATCCTGGAAGCACACTGATTGTGTCACATAATTCCTAACAAAAGAGATACAGTATGTATAGTCAAAAGACATCAAATTTTATTCCTGATCTAGTTCCATGTATAAAATTATTCCAGAATTGGAATAATAACAGTATTGTAAGGAAAGGTTAATGATTGTACTCAAACACATTAAAATTACATTCAGATTAAAAGATCTAACTTAAAAATACAGTAACTTGCAAAAGTATTCAAGCCCTTCTGTCCCTTTTAATGAAATTGCCAAATGATACATGTTTTTTTAACTTTAAAATTTTATTTAAAACCTGAATGCTCACACTTGTGTCTTCTAAGAGTACGATAAGTCATAGTAAATATAATCAAAAACTAAAGACAAAAAATGGAGTACTGTATGTTGATTGCATCAGTATTCAGATCTGTGAATTTGGCAGAAGCACCTTTGGCCGCAGTTGTGGCCTCAAGTCTTTGTGGGTAAGTTTCTAGCAGCACCGCACACTGGCTTGATGTTGTAGGGCTGACAGAAGTCACAGTGCAGTTCCAGGCCCATAGCTGAGTGCTCCCTCCACCATGATTGACAGATTGTTGTATGCACTAAACATAACAAAGTTTGACCAAAATGTTCCAATTCTGTCTTTTATGACCACAGAGGAAATTACATCCATATTTCTTTAAAATTATATGTTACTTCTTTGTTCTTTGCTTTGAATGTCTGGAGTAGGTTGTGTATACAGCAAAACAAATATTAATTGCAACTTCAAAGTGTGCAAGGATCTGAGTATCTTTGTAAGGCACTGTACAGTATACGTGATAAATGCTACTGCAGAACTCAAAATTAAATCTGAGTAATCTGGAAGAAACCTATTTTCTAAAGGGTTACATGTTAGAATTGCGTAGAGTCCTTAATTTTATTTAGTTGCTTTAGAAATGCGATAAATGACGATAGGTATATCTGTCCAGTATATTTTGTCATTATGGTTTTCTTGTTTTGCCATTGCAAATCAGACGATATGGAAGAATCTTGTGTTGTTCACTCTTGATACTGTATGTCTATGTGAGTTCCCTGTAAGCATATATTTTACTCAGAAGTTAAAACTACATTCTCCTTCTCAAGTATTGTATTCTCATGTCTTCTTTTAAGCCTTTTTCAATGTATGTGAAAGCTCACAATTCTCATTTCTGATCAATGTTCCCTTAGAAAAGATATAGATATTAAAGTAAAATATGATTTCTCCCCTGCAGCAGTGGCAGAAAGTTATCAAATCTTCAGTTGATCTCTCACTGGATTATTTGTGGCGGTGTCCCTCTGTGGGAGTTGCAATAGGGCGTCCGAAGGAAGTTGAGTTGGCTGGATTGGTATTTATTAAAATGTCAGGCTGACTTCTCTGGAGAGAGGTCTAATGAGCGCTTTTATCTGAGCTGACAGTTTCATATTGGGCTTGAGCAGATTCTCTGCTGCTGAGTCCATCCTCCTGCTGGGAGTCTCATTCCTTTGGGAAAACTTCCTCTTCAGAGCCAATAGCTAGTTTAACAGATGTCAGTGCATTGCCATAACATCTTCTGTCCACACTGCATGTAGCTTGCCATTGCTGTACAATATCTCAATCTGATTGAGGGCCATCCATAAATTACATTAAAGCATTTCCTGGAGAACTCTTTCCAAAGCACCTTATTCATGATAATAATCTGTAAACAGTTTTATTTTATCTCTGAAGTTTTTCTTTTCAGTAAAACTTCATCCTGCTGTAGCCTGATGTGAAACTTCAAATTGTTTTATTCTTAAAACGTTATCTGTGTCATAAATTTGTCATTTGTTTTTCAGCGTCCAATAAAATGTTCTATTTTTTGGGTTATACAATCCTTTAAAGCCTTTAAACCAATTTGGAACAAGTTCTGCTATGTAAGGCATGTTTTGGTAGCGTATTATAATCAATTAGTTTCCTTCACTTTGTATATGTTTCTGATAAAGTTTGTGTATTTGAATGTGTTCTCTTCACAGATGACTTCACCAAGCAGGGACGTGGGATGCTACTGTTCTACACCCTCAAGAACTCAACTTTTCCCGAATACATTTTCCCCACTCACAGTGGCGTGATGTGCCTGGACATCCATCAAGGATGCCCCTACCTGGTAGCAGTAGGCTTCTACGACGGTTGTGTAGCTGTGTACAACCTGAAGGAAGAGGGCGAGCAGCCAACATATAGAAGCACAGCAAAGACTGGGAAACACACTGACCCTGTCTGGCAGGTCTGTCACTCTGTCTTCTGCGTTTTCAGTTTCACAAAAATATTACATTATATCAAAGTGCAACTCAACTTGAATCATTGGCCAGATGTAAAAAAGTAGTTTTTTTTATTACAGGGTTCGCATTACTCAAAAGAATAATACAACATTAGCCCTTAGCTAGGATATATATATAGGAAAAATGTAAATATTTGTAACTGCTGGGTCCACATGATAGGTACACAACTGTCATCACCATCTTACCAGCAGGATACTTGTGGAAGTCTGAGTGCTGAGTTTCAGAGTGTCATTTCACATTATATGTTTTGCAAACTGACAGGGAATACTAGCAGAGCAGACAAGTCATATCCAGTGACGTAAATCAGGTTTTCTATAGTTCTTAATATCTCAGTTCTCGGTGATATTTCTTTTTTTGCTATTTTCTACCGCAGTATTGCATTTGTGTAGTTTTCTCTTCCGTGAAACTAAACTTTGTTCACAAAAACTAATTTCCATTTTTAGTTTTTAAACACTAAAAAGCAGTGCAGAATTAGAGACATCACTCCCTATCAAAGCGAGCAGTCATAGTTTTTCAGATAAAAAATAGGAGTTCCTTAGTTCACACTCAAAGTAACAAAGTTAGCAAACAAAGTAAAAAGAAATCCAGTCTTTCTCTCTTCAATTAAATGGAAGTAATGCTTAAATGGGCAACAGATTTTGATTGCCTGATCTATACTTTGTCAGTGCAGTGATTGGACATTTTTATAACATCTTTACATTAATTCACATTTTGACTTATATTTTCTATCACACGATTTCAGCAAAGATAATCACTTCTGGTGATACTCTGGTGTTCTTTCTCACGAGTTTTTTATACTTGCGTACCTACAATCCACAGTAAAATGTCAGTTAATAAAGCATATCCCCTTCAGGCTGAAAGACTGAAAAATATCTTTGTCCTTTTTTAACAAATTATTATTAGATATTGTAGGAAATGTTTTATATTTAACTCTCTGTCCTGGTGCTTGCCTCTCTGCCTTTGAGGTGTATGTCTGCGTGGGAATTTTTGTTTCCAGAACAAGCCCGTGTCATCTGTGTTGTTCTGGCTTATATGCCTTCTCATAGATGAGCTTCTTCAGCTTCTCAGGAAATGCTTCTGCCGCCATGTGATCAGATGATGCTGCCTCCACTGTCAATTTGATGTTATAGAGATAATAGCACTTCTTCAAATGATTGATCCAGCCTTTGCTCACAGACACACTTCTTACATTTTCACTACAATGTTATCTCACACTTGATTTTGTAGTGTCTGCAGCTTCATGAATTGCTTTCTCCTTCTTCATGTAGCGTACTGTTGACTTGTAGCGTATGTGGTACCTGCATGTTACTTCTCTCTCAACAATCCATCCCCTTATGGATCAAGGATTTCAGTTTTCACATCCAGAGTACTCATTTTCTTATTTCTCTTTAACACCAGTAGGTATCTTTCTGTTGGGCTTCATTTTCACAAACAAATAGAGATTTTATCACTTCACAAAAGAGACAATGTACTGTATACTGAACTGAGAGTAAATAAAGTCAAGGCTGTGTGGACTATCACTGTGACCTCTTCTGAATAAATGTACATCAAAATTAATAGCTACCCTTGTTCGTGAATGTTAAATCCACAAATTCTGAAACCTTACTTATACAGTTTAATTTATTTTAATAAAACAAGGCGAATAAGACAGGCCTATTGGAAATATGATCTATTTCATTGGGAAAATGTGTATTGAAATTTCTTATTATACAACTAAATTAATCTTTTAAGAAATAGAAATACTGTATGAATAGAAAACCTCTCCAGTAAACCTTGCCGATATTTTGTCGATCAGCAGGCAACCCTTGTGGCAGTGTTTGCCGTGACAGGCGCTCGGTCACTTTCCATTGCTGCTTCACCTACCCTGCTGTCCTTTTGCCCATGGGTCCTGCTGTGTAGGAGCCAGTGCAGATCTTTTACTAGAAGCATACTGCCAAGCCACACTGCTTGTCTGTATATGTCTCTAGCTGTTTGTGTGAGTGGAAAATTCTGTCAACAGACTGATTGCCCCCAGGTGAGATGTAAGTGCAGACCAAAAGGGGAATTTGTAGAGAGTAAATAAGCCCAAATTTTAGCAGCTCTTAAAAGAGATTTTATGTGTGAGAACAGACTTATACCTTATTAAACCTTTTGTCCTCGTTATATAGCTTATAGTTGCTGCATATATAATTATAACGGTGTAATTTATTTTTCTCCCTCCCTGCTTGTTCAGTTTGTGCTATATACAGTATTCCACTTTTCCGCTTTAACTCGTGGGACACTGCATAACATTACTTATCTGCTCACCTATCTTATCTGCCTATTTTCTGTATGTGCTATATGAATACAAATCTATATTACACATAATTTATTGTCTTATCATTTTGTTTTTACTGCAAAACAATGAATGACTGGTCAAGTCAGATCTAACATGTCACAATATAACTTAATTTGTCTGCAAACTACAGGTAGCTGTTAACTAAACATTTCCTCTTCTGACTTATTTAAAAGCAGCAAGGCAGCCACAGAGTATGCCTACATTTACAGTTTTCTGCACATTTTAATTGAGTCATTAAAATATTAGTTACTATAAACACTGATACTAGTCAGTGTTTTGTTAAATTTTGTTGCCAAGCAAATACACCAGAGGGGGTTTCTCAGTAGGGATCAATGTGGCCTGCGTATGTGAGTCAGTATAGTTTTTTGAAGTCATTTTGTCTCATAAATCATAGATCAACATGAGCAACTTCACAAAACATACCATTAATTATTAATATTCATTTAAATAATAATTACGCATGCTTATGTTAATTTTATGTTTATTTAATTAATAAAAAGTAAAATATACGTTTCAGGTAAAGTGGCAGAAAGATGATATGGACAACAATCATAACTTCTTTTCAGTGTCCTCTGATGGTCGAGTTGTGTCTTGGACTCTTGTGAAGGTAACTGGCACATAACAACTTAGAAATCCTGAGCATTGAAATACAACAGATAATTTAGACACTTTTTAAGGTTTATCTTTAGAAAATTGAACTCAACATTTTAAGTTCTGACATACAAATTAATGATTTTCACAATAAAACTACTCTATTTTTTTTAGGTACTGAAATCAGTAATTTGTTGTAATGGTTTCTGTATCTCAGCTACAGTGTATTAGCAGTATATACTCTATGTTTACACAGAATCCATCTGAATATGAGCATTCCTACATTTTCCATAAAATGCAGTGTACCAAAGAAAATAGCTTTCTCTTTTGTCATACTTGTGCTCTTTGAAAAACTGATGAAATGTGCAGTGAATTGCTAAATCCTACTAAAAACATCAAACAAACATCAAAAGACTAGATCTCTAAGGACATCACTTGGTGTGTTTAAATGACAGGATTTCATTGCCTGGCACTTGGGATTTATTGCAACTTAGCAGTTGGCTAGCTCAACTGTGTTCAAAATCAGTATTTTGCTTGTTTCTCTGGAGGGCAGCTATTAATTCTGATATACATTTGCTGGTCTGCTTGCAGAATGAACTGGTTTACACAGATATCATCAAACTGTCTGGGGAAGGCGCAGTGATGGACGGGCCTGAGGGACTGCAGCTGCAAACCATGGGTATGAGCCGGACCTCCAATCAGGAGACCAGCTAATTATTGCGTGACACACTAATTGCTCACTCTTGTTATTCTATAAAACAATCAGATTAGGGCAGAAAAGCTTATTATTTCTACATCTGCCTCAGACATTTGCATTAATCAATTTGTCTTATTTTTTGGACACTGTGTATCAAGTTCTTATTGTAACTTCTTGTTGTGCACAAACGATATGAGCTTCACATGCAAATATCCGCAGGTTTTGCTAAAGGTAATTCGTGATTTTTTTAGTCACTACATATGTTATCTTCACATTGAATGATGTTATTTATGTTATCTTCAATGTCAAGTGAAACAGAATCTCTGTGAATATGGGACATCAAAATGCATTTTGTCTTAGTCTATCATTGCAGACACATTTTGTATGTCGTAATTTTGGTAGAAACTTTGAGGTGACAATCGGATTGTTCATGCTTTCAAAACCTATGTCACATGATAAAATCTGTCAGCTTTAAATTAACAGTGTTTTATTTACAAATAGTTTTGAGTGGATTTTATACAATATAATCATAAGGTGTAGACAAAGACAGTAAACATTATAGATTATAGATTGAGACGAATGGTGTCTGGAAGAGCACTGTGGCGAAGATTGCCCAGCTGTCCGTGTCACACAGGTGACTCTATTCATCCTGGTGCTCAAAAGGGTCAAGTTGCCAGTTGCTGACTGCTCCCAAGTGCTTTAGTGTGAGAACTAATTCATCATCCAAACACCTTTTCGACGGTGTTCATCTCATCAACCTTTCTCTTCGCTCTCCCACTCAAGTTCTTGATTTGTTTTGTTTTTTTATCTCAAAGTACCCCTCATTGTGGCAAAAGCTCACTTCTATTGAGCTTCTGGGAATTGTCCTATATTCTAACACTCTCTGTGCCACACTGCCACACACCATTTTAATATATCTTATTACCATCTTTCGCTTTGGCATCTGTTCAGAACACAAGTTTTTCTCCCTCCTCAGTTTCTTAAACTACATTAAGCACATCATCTGTCAGGAATGCAACTTCATTTTTCATCTCCTCAGTTCTTCCATGGCATCTCTGCACCACCACATCACTCAAGACACCCGATACAGGGAGGAACATAGGCTGTGGTACCTGTTCCTGGAGCAATGGAGCAAGTTAACATTTCTTTATAGCGACTGTCTTTTGTCTGCTGAGACCTACAATTCCTTAATGACACCTCTGACTGTCTCTGATGAACATGTTGATCATAGCCAAGATTTAAAACATTTACTACTCTCATATGTATTGTGTCTTAAGCTGCTTCATTCCATTTACACTGATCTTGTTTTGTGGTAATAGAATAAAACAAGTAATGATAATGGTATAGGAATCTGAATGGCATAGTTGTCTGAATGACAAAACAATTAGGTTAAAGAAGCCCTATTCCGAGGATTTTTTTTTTGTATTACAATTTTCAAGTGAACCAGCCCCCAGTGAAAACTCAACACATTCAGATACTGTAGGTACTTGTGTCAAAGGGAATTCTGTACTGACAAGTTCCCTCTCTATGCTGGATTTTTTGCAAAATTCTCCAAAACTGATTCCTGTTGTATTTTGGTGGCTAATAAGCCATGGGTTACAATAGTATTTTTTCATGTCATGTTGATTGGTCGCATTATTTAGCCATGGTCTTTGTTTGATAAAAAAAACACTTTAGGATCTTGTCTTTGGACAAATTAAATACAGCTTGGTACACATGAAATAGGATTTTATTTTCTGCCAGGTTTGTTCATTGCCAAATTTTATGCATACAGAATAATATCTCATATGATGTAGAACTTGAAGTTAAAGCTTTTTTATATAAAATAACTTTTTAATATATCCACATTTAAATAATAATAATACTTTTAAGAAATTATAAGCTAACAAATTTGAGGTTTTTGGCAAAATTTTGAACAGTTTATTAATAACTCCATAATGTGTTCAGATAGGATTGTGGTTGCTATAAAACTGCAACCTACACTATACTGTATACCTGCCCTAAAGGTTCAAATGCAAAAACTATATCATGAGTCATTATAGACTGTATTTAAGATAACCAAGAGATACTGTATATCTCATTTTCTTTTTGGCTAAATTAACTCTCAACTACATTTACAGTAGTATTAACATGCTGTCATATAAACTGTAGATGTATAATTTGTCAGTTGTGTATTCACTGTTTCTATACTTCTTCCTACAGCATGTGGAACATCCTTTGACTTCCACAAACAAATTGACTACCTCTTCTTGGTAGGAACAGAGGAAGGAAAAATACACAAGGTAAGACTGCTGTTACATAAGAATATTTGAACAGTCTTCATATTCAGTACTTTATATACAGCATGGCAAAGCATATCAGTATTGTTAGTCCTAGTAAGCATAAGTATGGAGTTTCTGCTTGCCTGAACTAAGCAATATCCCTGGCCAGCATGATCAGTCATATGCATGGTTTATTCACATTAATATACCTCACACTCTGGCCAGACACATGAAGTGCATACAGTATATTTCTGTGCATATGCTATATACAGCATGCACTCAGATGGAGGATGATTACACATATCGTCTGGCATATTCATCTGGCAATTACTCCATTTGCATTGCTAGGTTTAGAATGTCCTTGTGAAACTATTATAGTGCAGTAAACACATTTTTATTTTCTGGTGTGCAGGCAATCCCTCATGATTTGTGGGTCACAGTTATTTCTGCTGTGATGCCTTTTACTGTGCCATGCAATAATTGTCCCATTGCGTAATCCCAATTATAATGGATTAGAGAGGTAAATCCAATTAGTTTGATTTATTGGCTTTACTCATCTGGCTGAGAACTCGACAACCTGGCTGTAAGGACTAGGCCGTCAGAACACCCCTGACTGTTTTTAAGAGTGGAGGTGGAGGGATGTGAAAAGATAAAGCATTTTAAAATTAAAAGCATTTAGTTCAAGATTTTTACTGTCTCCTGTATTTTTACATATTATTAACATGAAACAACATATGATAAATTAGGTTATTGTTGTTCTGAAAACCACCTCTGCACCCCACAGTTTGACTTTCTAAAACACATATTAATTGTTCTGTTTGTTGTCTGTACAACCTGTCATTATTTATTATTTAGTGTTTTGTAATGTACTATCTACATTGGATGGTGTGGTCATTGTATGGTGTTGTCTGCTGTACTATACATGTCCTGAGAGAACAGCACAAAAATCCTATTGTACATGTTTATATCGCAAATAAACTCCTTTATCTTTATAAAAATCACCAAAAAGTGACATTACAGTGGCATGTTGTTTGCTATTGTAAATTAAAATTAAAGTACATTTTATTGCCAAACTACAGACTGTTTTACAAGCAACAGTTTTTAAGGTATTTTTTCATTTTCTAAAAGGAAATGTTCTGTAAGACTTATCCATTGAGAGAAACAAAATCAGGTCTTATCATTTCCCTAGTTAATTAAAGTGACTTCTCGCTTCACGACTGTCACTGTAAATCTGTAAATAAACAGCATCAAGAAATGTCTTTCATACAACTGGCAAAATGTAGTCTATAAGAGCACTGGCTGATTGAGGTAGTTCTGCTGAGGCATTTCCTATAGATCGGTCTAGATAAATATTGCTTTGTGAAGACTATAATCTGAATTTTGAATCCTCTTCACACTCTTATTTTTTATTTAAATATCTCTCCACTGAATGGGTGTCGTACATACATTTTGGAATCCAGTTCTGAAACGTTTTTTTAAGTATCCACAATGTTTTTCTTCTTTGGCTTTATTGTTTCACAGTTTGATTGAACATTAATTATAATAATAATAACTCCTTACATTTATATAGCTCCATTTAAAACACTTTACATGGGTAATGGGGACTCCCCTCCACCCCACCAATGTATCTCTAAGCATATCAGTCACCTGCCCTGAATGCATTTTACTTTACAATTCCTTTGCTATAACAGCTGTTAACCTTTTAACATAATTTGATTAATTTGATATAATCAATGTAGTAATGCTTTGAAAATGTAATTGAAGCCATTAGTGAACAAATAGAAAAAAAAAGAAACAAGCTTGATTATTTGTTGGTCACTTATATAAAAAACATCCCCTGAGTTTCCTCAAACTGAATTTCTTTTTTCTCTTCCACTGAGCTCAGCTGGGACACCATGAAAAAATAAAGTCAGCATTACTTGATGTACTGTACACTTCTTACCAAATATTTTTTTGAACATTTGATATGTATTGAAACCAGCAGGGAATGAGTATACTAAGAAAGATGTCCTTTGCCTGACAGTCCCTTGCCCTGGCTTTGGGATTAGGCTGGAGTCAGAATGAGTTGATTCTTCTTCACCTACTGTACCTCACTACCACTTAAAATTCCCACTGCAGTCCTGTAGCTATACAGTAGCTATGTTGTTCAGAATACCATGTGTTTAATATTAAATTTACAGTATTTATTTTAAACATAACTTTAAACTCTGTATTAGTTAAAGCCATTAGAACATGGATGGATGGATTTTTAACATATTTAAAGGGTAAAGGGTAGACAAAACATTGTGTATCTACAGTTTATGTATTTAGTATTATTTTACAGTTATATTCAGTATCATTTCATGCATTTTTATTTAATTTAAATTCAGAAATGTTGAAAAATGTTATTTTAACTTGCATTTTCTAGGCTAAATTAACTTTAAAAATGATTAAGTGTATGAATATTTTGGAGGATACCTCTGCTATCTAGGAATGTTCGACAATTTTGTTTACAGTAATTACATGGGTTCCCTGATATAGTATGTACTGTATCATATATTTATATAGGTATCATCATGAGCAAATGTACAAATGAGCAAATAAAAAACAAGTTCTTGTAATTAAAAATTAAGAGAATGAAATGTAAATCAGAGAAAGTTTATACGTTTCTGTATTTGTTACAAATGAATGCAGAACATCTTCACGAACCTTGAATGAGGACTTTTTATCTGTTATAAATGTTAATAATATATTAACATTTTTGCCATGTTGTTTCAGTGTTCCAAAGCCTATTCCAGCCAGTTCTTGGAGACCTATGATGCCCATAACATGGCTGTGGATGCAGTACGTTGGAACCATTTCCACCCTAAAGTCTTCATTTCTTGCAGCTCTGACTGGACTGTAAAGATCTGGGACCACACCATTAAGTATGCTACTTTTTTCTTTTCAAATTACCACAAGCTCATGTGTAAACAAGCTCTCTTTGCCACAGACACAGTACATCACAAGAATAGAAAAAAATGCACCTCAGAAAGTTATAGTGATAACTGCAACTAGGACCATTTTTTTCAATTTCAAGTCTGCTTATTAATATTGATAGAATGCTAGAAGCCTTGTATTGAAATCTTATTTTATGATCTTACCAATTAACCAAAAAAGTACACAAATGGTTAGGTAGCGTTGAATTTATCTGATTACCATGGGCACCAATACTGCATGCTACTGTTAGTTTAATTTAAATAATAACAAATATTTTGTAGTGTTTTTAGTCTTTTATGAGTTTTTTGTTGGTTGATATTGAATGCAGCACCAGAGACCATTTTGATAAAAAAAAACATCATCTATGGATGTCTTTCTTTTAAATTCATTTTTAATGTTCCTTAAAATAATATACCAACCTCAGCCAGGAAAAAACAATCACTATCACAAAACTAAATAAATCACACTTAAATTAAAAAAAAATCAGTTTACCTTTTTAGAGAGAAAACTTGAAATATTGAAGCATCTGGAAGAATTTTGAGTGGCAGTCCTACCCAAAAAATCATTCAGAGTAAAAAGTTTTCACTAGCAGGGTGTATGGATGAGAGGCTCAGAGACATATAGAGTGCACACAGTTTATTTTGGTCATAGTTTTTGTTGTACTTGACATGTCTTTTTTTAACTGACTGCACTTCCTTCAGTGACCAGTTGGTCCTAACAGCAGGAAGTGCATGCCAGATGCCCAGTAACTTTTCCAGTTCAGTGAATCAGGGCCATAAACTGCTGATAAGTGCTGTGAGACACTGTTTTTGTGGTGAAATATCATTGCATCCTTCACTTTGGTACACTTCAGTGGCTTTCTGATTCGGGTTTTCCAGGCATTGCTGCAGAAATCATGAGTGCCGTCAAAAATTCTTCATTATCTGAATATTTTGTGATTTAACTAAAATGTCAGGTTGCTTTGTTTTCTTCCCACAATTACATACAAGTTTTATTTATGTCACATCTTGAAATTGTTTTAAAATCAGATGTCTTTTGTTTTAAGTGAAACATTAGTGTGATATTTCATGTTAATTAAATAACATGATATTGAAACTCATTGTTTACCACTAAACGTCCAGAAAGCATAGGAATATAGGACATGTTACAGTATATATGAGAGGAGGCAATTCTGCTCATCTAGCCTATTTGGTAGTTAGTAGTTAATTGATCCAAGGATCTTATCCAGCTGTGCTTTGAAGGTAGCCAGGGTATCGACTTCAACAACATGGCTGAGAAGCTTGTTCCTGACTTCCATAACCTTTTGGGAAACAAAGTACGTCCCATTCTCACTTTTAAATGTACTTCAATGTAATTTCTATAGTGCTTTCTGGTTTGTGTTTTGCTGTACATTCTGAAGAAATCCATTCTGGTACCTTTGTCAATGCCCTTGAGGATTGCGAACGCATGCATCAGACTCCCTCTTTTCTTTTATAAACTAAAAAGTCTTCAACCTGACAATGTTTGACATTCTCTTAAGCCCTGAAATGTTTCTGGTTGCTCTTCTCTGGAATAATGTCGCAGGAACAATATCTTTCATGCAATGTGGTGAACAGAATTGTACACAATATTCTAAATGAGGCCTTAATAGTTTGATACACAAATTTAACGGAACATCCATTTAAATTCTGTTAAATTAAAACTCCCAAGGAGCAAAAAACACATACAACACTGGAAACTATATAACCTAGCATTTTATTTACCATTTTAATTGCTTCCCCAAGAAAATATAAATGTTATGTACTGTAAACATAAACACCCAAGTGCTTTTATTTATGTTTCCAATTTGTATTTATAGTTTACATTTTTATCTCTATATCCAAGACACTACACCTGTCTACATTAAACATCATCTGTCGTGTGTTTGCTCATTCTTAATTTTTACCTATTTTTTTTAATCATACAGTACAGGAATGTAGATCATCAATATAACTTTATAGTGACATCTAAAGCACAGACCAGTGAGCAAGGTATATACAATACTTGTCCAGGGCTCAATGAGGAATAGGTAACAGACATACGGTTTGCATTGTTTACAAATGTGGACACTTTAATGCTCGTTGTGGCTAAGGATCTGCGACTATGGCTGGAAGGTTGCCAGTTTGTATCCCATGGCCGGCAGAGGAATCCTACTCTGTTGGGCCCCTGAGCAAGGCCCTTAACCCTAACTGCTCCAGGGGTGCCGTATAAATGGCTGTCCTGCGCTCTGACCCCAAGCTTCTCTCCCTGTCTGTGTGTTTCATGGAGAGCAAGATGAGGTATGCGAAAAGACAAATTCCTAATACAAGAAATTGTATATGGCCAATACAGTGATCCTAATACAAATGTTCTAAAGCAGGCTTCTGATTAATTACATTAGTACCATGTTAATTTCACAATAGACTGCTTGTGGATTAATCCTGTTTATGAACAATGAGAATTTGGAAAATGAATTTACCATTGTCATGTCTGTACAATAAAATGTAAGTGACCTTACTGTACTACAAAAAAGTTCATTTTCTTGATAACTTTATGATGGGAGTTTCTTTTGATGCTCAATTTATCTAATGATTAAGCTTTATTGCACAAAATAGTTAATAATAATAATAATAATAACAACAACAACAACAGGACACTGTACACCATGAATAAAGAAAAAGACAAACAAAAGTACAATAAAAGTAAATGAAAAAACAAAGGCATACAAGTTTTTACAGATTGTAGGCAATCAGACATAGACTTGGTAAAAAGGTAAGTTTTAAATGTATATTTGAAGAGAGTTAAAGACATCTCTTGTAAAGTCTAAGGAAGGTCATTCCACAACACTGGAGCAGTGACAGAAAAGGCACGTTCACCAAAAGTCAGTGAGTTGCTGAAAAATACCTCATTTAAACTCAGTATGTACAGTATACAGTATATGTATATCTTTGTACAGTATGATGTGAATTCTATTTATTTATGTACATGTATATACAGTACATGTACCTACCATTCATGCCTAGGTCTATGGCAGTACCGCTTAGAATATTTTGTTCCTTTTTTGCCAATGTCCTCCTACACTGTTTGGTTTATCATAGTCATAGTTGTTCAGTTGCCTATAAGAGGAATTTAATTTGCATTGTGTGCTGCAGAAATACACATCTACTTATTCAGTGATCAAACACCAATGTGTCATTAGTGATCCATATAAAGTTGAATGAAATTGTACTGATTCCAAAATTGATTGACCATCACCTTACAACAATTACAGGCTCAGTATTCCAAGTGCAATAGAGAAAGTTTATACTGACCTCTGGTTAAAAAAGATAGAAACAATAAACATGAGATAATGGATCAGATTAAACATGCAAGGGCCCTAGCACTTCCTGGCCTTAAAGAAGTGCTTTTACTACCAGTAGTGTTTCTGAGGCTTCCCATAGACCATATCTGCTGCCCTAATCGCAATTCCAGAAAGACACTGGAAACAGATTCTAATGGATTGGCAGTTCATAATTATTGTGGCTGTTATTCATTAGCAGAGATCTGCCAAATTGAATCACACTTGAAAAGATGCAGTCAAGCTTATTTAGTCGCAGTACTACCCAGAACCACCAACAGAGAGCACTCTTGCTCTAACATTTTTTTTCTACTGTACTGTTGAGTCAGTCAGGAAATGTTTATTCAACAAGACATATTTTTAAAATTTAATATTTGCTATTTAGTGACTTGTGTGGCATTTATGTCTCAGTAGGAAAGGCTGTCAGATTTGATCCTTTTCTTTAATGCTTGTCTAATACAAATGTTCTAAAGAGGGCTTCTGATTAATTACTCTTGTTCTCTTCTGTTCAGATGGGTAATACAAATCTTGCCCTTCATTGTCATGTACTGACAAGAAAGACTGAGCTGCATTCTTGGATGTAGATTCAATTAAATATATTAATTTACCACAAGTCAATAGGAATCAACCTGCACTCAATCCACAAGTTGGCAATTCGTTCATATTCTGACCTGCTTTAACCGCAAGTACCCAGTTTGATACAGACCTTCCACATTTTCAATTGGTGAAGCAGTTTGTGACTTCTCTACTGTATAAGCTGTGTAGTGGGGTAGCTGGTGCATATTGGCTGTTTGGTGTGACCAGCGTAGGTACAATAGTTCTCAATTATTATGCTGTGTAGATTAGTGCATAAATTAAATACTAATTCCCCATAAGAATGCAAGTAAAGGTATCCCAGGCCCACTCTTAGCCAGAGGGCTGAACTCCCAAATAAAAACAATTGCACATATATATATATATTTATGTAAGATTTTTAAATGGTTGTACTAAAAGTCATTTTTAACCTAAACATTTGTTAATGCTTATGCAAAATGCTAAGGAAAGACTGTTATTAGTGGTGGGTGGTAAATGGTGTGGAAAATGTGCCCACAGATACATCTAAACTACACAGTTGTCTTTGGACCTTTTACTCTGTGAGGCTTTTAAGTACCATTTCTAATATATTCTTGTATGTCACAGTACAACAATACAAATATTTGTTATGCTTATTTAGGTTTTCAGTTGATCAGTTGATGATTTATTTTAGACTGTTTCATTTAATTATTCTATTTTTTTAATATTAAGGTTGACAGTTTTGTTTTTAGTTTCTTAATTACTTTAACAAGGTTTTATTTATGATGTTATACATACAATATTTTTGCTTTTTTACACAGAAACTTTCTTTTAGGGTTTTATTGACTTTCTACAATATAATCAGAATAAAATAATGAAGACAATGGGAGATGAAGAACACTGAGTGAAAGATTACCCAGATGCCTGTGTGTCAACAAAACACTATTCACTACTTTCCAGCGTGTAGCATATACAAAACCAAACCAAAAACATGCAGATTAGGAGACCTAACTGTAATTCATTAGTAGAACATCCCCTCCTGGTCAAAGTAAGGAGTGGTATATATGCAATAATTTATTACTGAGATTTATTATTTATAGAAACATTTATATATATAGAGTGTATAATATTATACAGCTATATACAGCTGTACAGAAGCCTGTATAGGATATTTTAGGAGTCTTGAGTGCCAGTTGGAGCCTTGAGACCAATAGCCCATGAAACAGTGCTAAAATATTTTAATACCTACAGTATAGTCACATCTTTTGTCTTGAATATAATTCAGTCTTTTTCTCTCTTCCTTTGAGCACATTTTCTCTAGCGTTCTTCATTGCCAGCTCTTGCCAGCCCCTAAGGAAGTATATTCTCAGAAACTGAATCCCTTTGTCACGAGAACATTAATTTGTAACTGTTCTTAAGGTCTCATAAGAATGAGAAGACGCCTCTTAGTATGTCTAACATGTTTGTTTTATTTTAGTAGCTCATTTGTAGCTAATAAAGCACTTTTAGAAGCCACTTCTTCTTCTTCTTCTTCTTCTTCTTCTTCTTCTTCTTAATTGATCCAGAGGTCTCATCCAGGTGTTTCTTAAATGAAGCTAGATTATCAGCATTGAAAACATGGTCAGACAACCATTCTTTCATCTTTAACACTGTCTCGTTTTTCTTCAGCACCCCAATGTTCACTTTTGACCTGAATTCAGCAGTTGGAGATGTGGCCTGGTCACCATATTCATCCACTGTATTTGCTGCTGTAACTACAGATGGCAAGGTAGGGGAATTAGCAGGGATCTCTTTTCTCTGTCTTTTAATCCATTTCTACTGTATAATACTCAGAAAAGGACATTTGGATCATTTGCTCCATATTGAGTCTTCATGAATGTTCTTAACATAATTAAATTATTGTAAGTTTCACAGTCTCTCCTGATATTCTATACACTTTCTTAGCACTACAAGTAAAAATTTCACTGCTGTTTAAGACAGATGAAGACTCCTTATGAGTCTTGAGTTGATGCAAAGAGGCAATGGCAAAAATGTCCTTATTGCACAGTTACTATTTTTTATTTATTTAGCAAGTTGGTAGGCATACTTGCATGTGCACACATAAAAACCAATAAGACTTTTGTTCTAAACATTTTACAAAACAGCTTTAAAGAAACTGTGGTTTTATCTTTAAATTCTGCTATAATTCTCAACAGCAGAAGAGTTAGACAATTCTGTACTGTTGCAGAGATAAAGAAAACTATTTATTTACCATATACAGTTGAGTTGCAGTCTGTGTGGTTTTTTAAATGTATGGAAACTTGAGTGGCACAAAAACATTACAAGAAATAAAAAGCATAATAATAATGCAAGCCTGAGTGAAGGATTCTCATGATATTTAAATATCATGTATCACCTTTTAAAAAACAGACCCCCTTCTAAGAAAATTAAGACTTCAAAATCAAGATTTCATAAAAAAAGATTTTACTGTGTGTTCATCAGAACATTCTTGTGAGATATAGAGCTTAACAGAAACTTTGTTAGCAGCACATCCATCATTTTTCTGTGCCAAAACGATTGTTGATAATAATACCCAAAAAGCTCGATTTGTATAGCATTCAACAAAAGTAACACCTTTCATTGTGCATCATCTCAAGGATTACAATAAAACAATATAGTCAGGTAAATCATACAGGAAATCAAAGAGAACCTACAATTAGAGTAATAAAAATGATAATAAAAATGATTTAAGACTCTCACTGAAGATTTCAAGGATTTGAAAGTGCTGACTAATATAAACTGGGAGATCATTCCTCATCCTTGAAGCAGGTGATCAAAAAGTGTGGTTTTCTAGTGTTCTAAAGACTCTTTTTGGAAACTAAAGAAGGCCAAAGTTCAAAGAGTGCAAAAAACATGTACTGTAGGTAGTTAACAGCTGGCTGACTAAGGAGCCAAACTGTTCAAGCCCTTAAATGTAAGTTGCTTATGTTGAATTTTATTCTAAAATCTGTGGGGAGTCATTACATGAAATCTAGAACAGGTGGAATATACTCATGGATTTTAGTTTTACTTAAGATCTGAGCAGTTGTTGTCAGAATATGATACAACCTTTTAAATGTGTTTTGATACTCCAACAAGCAGTTCATTACAATAACCAGCTCTCTCTCTCTCTATAAATTATATATAAATATAGAAGTATGCAAAAACCTTTATACAATGCTATTTGATTAAACAAAACACCACCATGGGGACCATGAGGTTCAAATACACGGCTCAAATCAAAGAACATACCTGAATTTCCCAGCCTAATTCCAAAACCTTCTACAGTCAAACAAAGGTAGGGTTTGTCTTTTTAGAGTTCACTGGGAGAAGACTGTTCTTAATCAACATTAAATTTCATGCAAACATAAATTTGAGGGTCATCAGCATACAGTATAAATAAAAACTTATGCCGTACCTGCCAAGGATCATGTTTGTACAGTATGCATATACAGTATGTATATTGTATCTTTGTTATTCATTGCATAAGCTTTACTTTGCTTCATTGCATAAGCTTTGCTTCACTTCATTTAAAAGCTCAGTATTCATGGCATAAGCATTGCATGGCTTCATTTAAAAGCTCAGTAAGTGTGTGTTAAGCAACAGTAAATTTATTTTCCTATCCATGACAGCATATATAATCAACCAAGTAATAAAAACTTGTTTAGAAACCATCTACTGACTCCTCTTGGATAATCATTATTCTAAGCTCTTCCCAGTCTGTCAAAAATAATCTTATAGTAGTTCACATTTTTGCAATTGCTAAATAAAAATAAAGAAGATGAAAGTCAATGTGTGTATTAAGGAAAAAAGAATATGGTTTGATTTAGAATAACTATTTTTTTCTCTTGTTGGATAACCGATCATAGCTGCTTGACATTGATTATGATTAAATAGTTTTTCACAGCTATATATCCCAATACACTTACCTGACACAAACTTCACAAAGAAACATTGCTGATACTTACATTTTCATAGGATATATTAGGTAATTAGTACCAAGAATGGTACTTATACTTACCAATAGTATACTGTATGTGTTTCAGACTTGCAGTATAGAAAATATGTAATCTGCACATTATAGAAAACACATTTTTAGCTTCAGGAACATGAGACAAAGAACTGCTGTACCGTATGTGGAATTCCATCAAACATGCCAGGTGTGTTTCATTCTCTGATGTACAAAAGCTGGTAAGAGTCAGTCTGGAAAGAGACTTTCAAACACGTCCAGTGGTTTCTTCTTTCAAGGCTGACGGCATAGTGAAAACCTTGTACAGGCCCTGGCTAACTCAGGAAGAACAGTTATTCTCATGAACTGATCATGTATACAGTAAGTGCAGTATAACGCAGTAGTGAGCAATCACAGAGCTATAGAGCCAGGGCTAGCCATCATGTGTGTTCATGCAAATGGAAGGGAATATTCTAAACCCTGCATGAATCTTTGAGGACCATATTCACGTTTTTGAGGAGTCATCTAGGAAGACAAAGAATGAATAATACAAAAACTGTTTAAAACTACCATGAATTTGACCTACCTGTATGTTTAATCAGTGAAAAGAACATGAAGATAAAGAACAGATACATTAGGGTGATATTGTGACATGGAGGATAATGCTGCTCACAGCTCTTGGGCCCTTGCTTTGATTCCAAACTGAGGTGCTTTCTGTGGGGAGTTTGTATATTCTACCTGTGTCTGCATGGGTTTTCTCCAGGTGCTCCAGTTTACTTCCACCTTCCAAATGCTTGTTAAATTAGTGTCTATAAATTTTCTGGGGATGCTTGTCACATTCACAGTAACATACCGGCATCCCAGGATGTCCTCACAGTGTGCTTCTGTGATAGGCTTCGTATAGCTGTCACGCCAGCTGGGAGTTTATCGTTTTCTAATTATAAATACATAGATCAGCTACCACAAATAGACTGGAAATACTATGAAGTGATCATATTTGCCGAAAGTAAATATTGAACATTTTTAATATGCTTTGAAACAACATCTTCAGGTCAGAGAATACACGACTGGGTTAGGGAGCAGTGGCTGGGGTTCTGAACTCATAACTGGAAGCTTGTGGGCTCACATCTCAGGTACACTGATGTCATACCCTTGTACCCTTGTACTGAAGTATTCCAGATAAAACTACTCAGCTGTATAAAAGAGTGCAAATGTAAGTTGCTTTGGACAAAAGTGTCAGACAAATAAATGAGTAATAACACTGAATATGTTTCTGATGCCAGTCAAAGATGCAGTGTTGTCATGACCACCTTAATAAAGATAAATCTGAATGTGTATTTCATAATTATGTACTGTACCACAAAATGGTTTAAATTATTTTCTTGTCTTTATCCTTGTCTTTGATATGGATAAATATAACTAGTATTACTGTAGTTGCATAAATGCATTGGTTTACATTGGCAACACTATATCTGTCAGATTATCATTAAACTTCTTCCCAAAGTTTAGTGCAATAAAAAAGATTAAATGCACTTTAGTAAGAATTTTTAAACTCATATAAATAACATTTTTTTTGCTGATTTATGCTTTTTTGTCTCTTTGAGTATACCTCCTGTATACACCTTTCAAAGCATCCTACTGTACAGGAATCTTCTTCTCCCACAGTGAGAATAATTTAAAAATGAAATTCACCATCTGTCTTGCTGTTAATTTGTGAACCAGTCAGGTTTAATTGTGTATATGTGCATTGTTTCTGGTACCCCCAGCTGGAATCCAAAATTTCCACTGTGTTTATTTATACTCTTCTTTTGGAGCTTTGCCCTGGTTATGACCTGCTTTTCATCTTCCTTGTCTCCTGGATAACCTAATTATTGGAATTTATTAGAATGTTGGAGTGATGAACATATTATCTTATTATTTCAAATTGATTTCCACATATCTCAGCTGAACTCTTGCTGAACAGAAGATAGATCCTGAAACATTTTTAATTACCGTTATCTCCTTGGAGTGTACATTTTAAACCTGTGAATCCAGCACCTCCGTAAAAACAAAAGAATAGGTAAAGCTGGTGCTTTTTCTGTCAATGAGTACAGTTTTTTTAAGAATGGGGAGATTTCTTTAATCAAAAAAGTGATTTGAAAAAATGGTATTTACAATGTCTGCAATATGTACTGTATACTAAAATATATCATATGTAATCACTTTAATGTTCTCCAGTGATGAGCACATTACTTACAGTTACAGTAACATTACTTACCTGAATTATTCTGTTATTCAGAGTTGACAGCTGCTGAATTATTCAAAATGCACCAGCTAAAAAGCATTACACTAATTTTTGGAATTGTCATCTTAAAAATAGAGCTCACTAGGTCCTATTTAATAATTTCATAACATACAGTGTTGCATTGCTTCAGTAAATCTAAGTAAAGGAGATTGAAGTAAGCCATAAGATATGTGTAGATTAGTTCAATATGGCTGTGAATTAGATACTAGTATCCCATGAGATCATGGACAGTTTGTACATTACTGTGAAATCTCTGTAGACCTGATTAAGTTTTGTGTCCATAAATTGTATAAATCTTGTCTGTATAGCCTTATTTCAGAATATTTAAGGTTTAAAAAGAAATACACCATCATAAGAAGTGGAGAGGTGGCATTTGGTCTATCCAGCTAGTTTGGTGTTGGAAACAGCTGGAGTGTCATTTTTAACAACATGACCTTTGATCTTCCTGTGCTCTGTCCTTTTAATGTGACATTTAACAAAAGCCCTAAGTACAGTACAAGAGTGTTTGTTCATTCCCAATTCTCAGAAAATTGCTCTCGGCAACTATCATCATTAAGTGTTCATTTTTCTGTTATTAAGTGTTGACTTTCTATCTACTTGAATATATAGCACTTTGTAGTCTTGGTCAACATGTTGTGGTTATTGTGGTACAAATCATTTTGTGGGAAAAATAAGCGGTGATTAAAACAGCATACAGTAAAGGCAACTTTTGTGGAATTTTGATTGACCCTCTTACATGAGACAGATGTTTTCCATTATTTTAATTTCCAGACCCTGGGAGTCAGTTGCATCACTGCTTTTTAAAATGTTGAAAATGAATGGAGGAAATCAAACAACTTAATTAATGGTTATGGTATGAGCTTAGAACATACTGCTGTGATAAATAGAGGCTTTCAAAGGGAATATGACTGTGTAAGTGATAGAAATTACCAGAGGCACTAACCACTGATACAGTGTGTATAGTGTTCCCTAGCCTTAATTTCACATGGCTGTTTTAACCCTCCACAACCCGTGCATCCATGGTTGATGCTATTCACTTGATGCTATCAAGTACTTAAGGCTTTTTAGCATTGGCTAGATTATAGTAGATCTCTGCAGGATGTGGTCCTGAGCCAAACCTACATGGATGAGGGTTGGTTGATGATTTTCTTATCACTGTACAATCCTTTTGAGCTACAGAAACTATGAACATAAATCAATTGCAGGTGCAATTATGATGGTAAAAAGTGAAAGACGTTTGGAAGTCATCCACTCAGTATTCGCAGTTCAAATGGCCAAAAAATACTTTGATTGCCACTTGGAATATATGTACTATAAGCAGTGTAAGAAAGATAGTAGTGAGAGAGGTAGACATACATAAAACTAACATCCTAGGAGTGTGTGTAATAAGACTGAAAGAAAGTTGTGGTAACATCTAGAGGAACAACAATAATATGCTTAGTGGGCTCTGTACATGCTGTACACAGGAGATGTACAGGAATCGTAATGAGCATGGAGGCAAGGAATTTGCTTTCAAACAGGATACTGACATCAAAATTTAATTCCTGAGACATGGAGTGTGCTGTATTCTAAGTACAGTATATGAACCAATAAATGACACCAACGAAGATGACTAAGATTTTAATTTTCTTTCTCAGTGATAAATTCTGTTATTAGAAAGCTTGAGCTTGTTTTGTTCATGGGAGATTTTGACATTTGAAAGGGAAATGAGACAAGAGGGTGGGAAATAGTCATTGGACTTCATATACTGTAGCTGATATAACACTTGCAATGGCATAGAGCTCCTTAGGTTTCCACCAGAGGTGGGAAAGTTCGGTAACAGATGCAAGAGCATAGTGAGAAGTAAATATAGCACATGTCCGCTATTTACTAGTGGTGAACATTAGTTGAAATTTAAGGCAAGTCAACAAAAGAAGACATTTTCAATAAATTGAAAATGTAGGACTTCAGAATACAGAGTATCACATCAAACTAAAGAATTGATGTTGTTTAAATATTCACAGTCTACAAAGGCATTAACAAAAATCAAACTTATGGATTTTTTCAGAACCAACAGGGAAAAATGAGCCATTAGAAATAAATGGAAACTAATCTGATGTGCATTTCAAACAAGAGAATGGGAAAATGAAAACAGGAGACAAAAAAGAGCAAACTATCCAGCCGAGCTTTGTTGATAGAGACAAAAATAAAAAAAATATATGGTTGCTTCTTTCAGGAAGCAGAGGAAGAGATCATGAAATCTATCTGTTGGAAATAAAAATCCAGATCAGCTTGATGGTCTTAATGACCACCTCTTGTTTGCAAACCTTTCTTATCTTCTAGTCCACTAAGAATTTTAATATTTCTGATGCAGACTTAAACACATTCTGATAAATTAAAAGGCCTACAATGCACTAGCCACTCAATAGACCCATAGAGGAAAGGAATTTAAATTCACAAAATATTGTAGACTGGTATGCTTCTTTATCTGCTTAGAGCAAATTTAACCAGTGGGAAAGTACATTGCAAGATAGCCAGCATATCTGTTTAACAGCAAATTATTTTAACTGAGTCTATGAAAATATTGTAAAATGGGTTAGACAGTGTGCGTGTTCTGAGCCCCTTGTGTTGATTTGCCTGTTGTGTGCCTTTTTTTTGTCGCTTTCAGTATGTTATTTTACCTTCTTGTTTTTACCACAGGAGAATTGTGGTGAACAGGCTGTGTTTTTTGTTCCAGGTGCATGTGTTCGACCTGAGCATTAATAAATATGAGGCCATCTGTGAGCAACCTGTTGTGGCCAAGAAGAAGACCAAGCTGACACATATTGAGTTTAACCCGGTCCATCCCATCATCATTGTGGGGGATGACCGGGGGTACGTCACCAGTCTCAAGCTTTCACCCAACCTGCGGAAAAAACCCAAGGTAGGAGGCTGAAATCTGTTCTTTCCTTAGTATTAACAGAGGTTAGGCAGGCTTCAGTTTCACATTTACTCTGAAGTAAACAAAATACCAGAAAGTGCCATAAGAAATAGCTGTTTTTAATAGCGCTTTCAAACATTAAAATCCATTATTAAATCCATGAATTATTGATGTACTGTGGGAACAAAGTTGAAAAACAACAGATTTTACTTGTTTGATTTTATATTTACTTTTATTTGCAGTCCTATAATTTCATTGTAATCCTATTATTTAAATTAAACAGATTGTTCATATTTCTAAGTATTTTATCATAGAGTTGCTACTTCAGTGTTTAACAAATACATTTTAAATGACTGATATGACTCTGTCAAATATTGAAAATGTTGAATAGCGTCAATATACCTTAGGTACACTAGCTACGTTTCCTACATTTGAGCGGTAATGTAAACATATATTTTTCTTTTAGTAAATTGCAAAGTATCAAACTAAAGACACATTTTGATTATTCATTGTCTTTTAAATCTTTTTCTATATTTTGTAGTCTATTACAAAATATATTGTGCATTTATATTGTGAGACTGTGCTTTAATATTTCTTAGTACCATGGATACCTTGGCTGCCTACAGTAGGAACTATAGATCAAAGGTGATGAAATTGTTTGGAGAAATGAAAACTGCTTGTGGAGCTTCACCCAAGCACTCAATCTTACAAGGTGTAGCAGGTTTAGGAAAGTAACACCTACAGTACTAGTGGTTGGTCGAAGACTGTATTTTGGTAACTCTTTATGTGACTGTTGCTGCATAATAGCTTCATAGTCCTTTCATAAATGCTAGAAATTATAAGCACATATTAATATTTTATAGGGACATGCACAAATGACACAATAAAGTGTGCGCATAACAGGTCATGACATTTGTTTCAACATCTTTTACAGTGCTTGGTACAATGCATGCGACATTCACTTTACATTGTATGCTTGTTATATGTAATTTGCACATGTCTCTATAAAGCAATAAATGTGATTATAAAATCATGTGTAACTGGTATGAAGAAATTATGAAGACAATATACTGCAAGATTCAAATAATGCATTACCAATATATTTGTAAATGTATTGTTTATACAACTATCAGGAAGAATATGTTTTAAACTAATCTTCAATCTTGCTATATAATTATAATGTGAGTAGAATACAAAAAAACAAGTAAAAATTTATTCTATGCTGAAAAGAGAAGAAAAGAAATACAACATTTCTGCTGTGGAGCCTTCTTCGGGTGTCAGAATGTGTGTTGAATTATTGATCTCTCCTTTTCGTTTTGATGGGTCAAACTGAAATTGAATGGAAACTTTTCTATGTGATGCTCATTATTTATCTTATATTTTTTAATATATTTATATTTATTATATTTAATGCTTGGTTTGAAAAATGTAGCTGTAGGGAAATTCCATCCTATTCAAAAACAAATTTCTGTAACAAGAGAAGAGAGCGTTGTTTATCTATACACAACACATTTGACTAATTTACTGCAGCTGTAACTGAATAACTGAAGGGTGGTAAAATGGTGCAGTGCTTAGAGGGCAGTACAGTGGCTCTGTGGCTAAGGGTCTGCGCCTGTGGCTGGAAGGTTGCTGGTTCGTATCCCGCGGCCGGCAGAGGAATCCTGAGCAAGGCCCTTAACCCCAACTGCTCCAGGGGTGCCATATAAATGGCTGACCCTGCGCTCTGACCCCAAACTTCACTCCCTGTCTGTGTGTCTTGTGGAGAGCAAGTTGGGGTGTGCAAAAAGACAAATTCCTAATACAAGAAACTTTAAATGGCCAATAAAGTGATCTTATCTTATCTTAGCATTTCTGCCTCACGGCGCTGGGGCTCTGGGTCCAATTCTAGACCCAGGGTGCTATCTGCATAGAGTTGGTAGATTCTCCCACTGTTCATGTGGGTTTCCTCCAGGGGGTTAATTGGTTTCTGTATCTTGTGTGCACCCTGCAATGTGCATCCAGGGTACTGTATATCCTACTTTGCACCTGCTGCTTGCCAGATTACTTAAAGCGCACACCATATAGTGGTTAGAAAAATATATGGATAAATAATTGAATTCTGAACCTGAAAAATCCACTAGAATTATTAATAAATTAAATATTCTGTCATTGAGATCTGCATTATGACTTTCAGTTTAATTAATGACAATGAAGAACGAAGGTACCTTTTTGCCAAGTTAGATATATTGCTTGTGCAGTTTCACCTCATTTTATCAAGATTACCCCAATATCCATACATGTACTGGTCAGTCTCAGCAGCTGGCCAGTGCTTGCTACATTATACAGTACCTTGAATAACAGGTTAGAGGCCCATTAGTAAACAACTCCATTTTAAAAGTTTTAGAAGTAGCTCTACAAATATTTCCTCGTTAACTTTTATTGAATTTTATAAATATTAAGAATACAATTAAGACAATATTTCTAATCCTATCCCCTATGTAGCTTTTGAGAAATTCACTCTTATTGTAGACTGTAACTGTACAGACTGTAATGCAGTATGTGCACTCTTTTTTATTGAAAAGTCCAATGGGCATACAAAAACTGATGCGTGAATCCTTTAAATTATCCTTACTGTACGTCTAGGTTATTTACAGTACCTCCCTGTTTCAGTGCACTTCATCTGCAGTGTAAAAAATCCTTGGGCAAAGTTAAACTGTTCTTCATGGTTGGAAAAAATGCTGAATATGTAGCCCACAAAACAAAAGTGTATGTGTTTGATATGAAGTGACACCTAAGTGCCCTGCAAGCTCAGACATGGTTTAAAAATGACAGAGCTGATACAGTATTGCCAAGTGTCTTTCCTTCTGGTGGCAAACTCAAGAAGTATATTTGGGAAGGCCCCAGTTTGGACATTTAATATTGCTAATAGGTGTAGTTCAGTTTTTGATGTACTGTGTGAGCAATAGAATACAGGAGGTAACTTTATACTAACCATATATTTATGGTTATTAACCTCTATTTGTAACAATACAGTATATACATATCACAATGTGAAATAAAGTATAATTCACTTTCAGAGAGAGCATCTTGTTTATTTTTCAGACTTTGTCTGGCTTGCTCCAAGGAAAAATACAGTGCCCCTGATCATACATGTTATCTAATTTGAAGTGTATTCTATGAAAATTAAATTTCTGAAAAATCAAATCCAGCTCATCCTGATGGATGGGCCAGATAAGGCAAGGTTTTATTGTAGAGTATTTTCAACACAGTGAGGATAGAACTAGAGCTTGGAGGCAATTCCACATGAGACTATTTTTAACTCTTGAGTTGCTTACTATTTTCCCAGCTTTGCAGGAGGTTACACATACAGTAGGATGTCACAAATGATTATTGTATATCAAATCTGAAATATTGGACAATTATTTTAAAGTGCCTTCAGATTATTGTAAAGTTTTTTGCAGCTAAATCCCACTACATATTCATAAAAATCCACATAATTACTTTTTATTTTTAATAACTTCAAATAAGTTTAGTTTAACATCACTACAACTAGCAGATTGAATAATGGCTATACTCTCCTCAATACATCCTAGAGCTTTCTTTTTCATTTTTGAAAACTGAGGATTATAACTGTAGTTGTTACTGTCTGACCTTGAATGTCAATGTAAAATGTCCTTAAAATGTACTATTGAAGCCCGGACTGATATTATCATTCTGTTTTTCATACATGTTTTATTATATTTAAGGGTTAAACTATTCTAATTCTAAGAAATAATTTTCACACCATCACTTATTTTGCCTTCTTAAAATCTTAGGGAATCTTATTATACATTATATTTTCCAGAAAGGGAACAAAGTTTTTATTAGGTTTCTACTAACATTAATAGTTTTATTGACCATAATTGTCAATATGATATATGCAGTATATAAAGCTACTGTATATACAGTACAGTATATAGGTACTATAATGATATAAACATACAGAGAGGTATTACAGTTGCAACAAATGCTGTTGGTTCCTGTATTCATCAGTTGTGTTTTTAGTGCCTCCCTGTATATTGAAAGTTGCTCCTTTAATATTCTAATATTAATATTCTATATATATATATTAGTTATAAAAGTCAGCAGCTGTCATCCTGCTTCAGTATTATCAGATTCAGGAGCACAATAGCTGCTAAGGAATGTTACCTTGATCTTGAAATACAGTTGTATTTCAGAATAAAATTTCAAGTACAGTGAATTCCTGGGAATAAGACATTGCTGCCGAAGCTTCTAGAACTGTACTCTGCAGACAGCCTTGTTTTTTTTTTTGTTGAAGAAAATCAATTTAAATGCAGTTTTTTATTTTGAGAAATCATACCTTTCATTTTTATAGAGGTTAAAGACTATACCTCTAATATTTAACTGCTTCTGTTACACTCTTTGATGATAGATATTTCTTGAACTTGGATTTCTAAGGTTGAAGAGCAGCTTTTGTTTTTTCATAATGTTTGGCTTTGATACTTCTAACTTGGGTAGAGTGGGCTCCAAGTAGCCCAATGTCTCAGAGCACAAGGAAGAACCAAGCAAAAAAAAAAAGGAATTTCTATTAAAATGTCAATTTTTCCATCTGAGGTGTATTACAAAAAAACTTACCTGCATTAACCTAACACCCGCTCCTCACTCAAACAGTTATCCCAGCAAGGATCTGATAAACTCCTTGCCATAAAAAGTCACCCTTTTATGCCTTACATACTGTAACATATAAATTAAAAACTCTAGCCTTTATCATTATATTATATGTATTATCTAAACCATAAATACAATCAGGACATCACAAAAATTAAACATTAAATATCCATTTTTTTCTCTGCAGCAAATTTTACAATATATTAAATTCTAACCTAATCAATCACATATGCCCTTTCTTTCTCCATTATGGTGTGCTTCCGTTATTTAAAATCCCTGGCCTGATTGTGCACGTAATTTAATATTTTTGCTCCCCTTCTTTACAGTCATATTTTCAGATTTCCAAATTGTAAAAATCCCGTTTTTAAATATTGTTTAGAAAGTTAGAGTACACCTGGGTAAAAAAGAAATCATGCATTTTTTTATTACACATATGCTTTCTAAATAATATGGAAGATTTTTCTCTTCAAATACAATCCAAATCTTTTGAAAGAATACTATTCATTCATAGTACAATTCATACATATTACATAGTACATTAATTATTAGTTTTCTATTTGTAAAAACTGTTTTTTGGTAACTTCACCACTTAATAGAATGCTGAAAGTGACAATATGATGCAATCTGGTGAGGTATTGCTAATTCTACTACAGTTTTGTTTCTCGTACTCTATCCTGCAACCCTGTCGCTTGGCTTCCTTGGTGCATAGTCCTTGCTTGACTAGACTGCTCAAATTCTTTCAAAATAGACCAGGGACAGATACTTTTGTCCACTCTTCGTTTCCTGAGGCATAGCCATAACATGCTTCTTACTGTATGTAGTAATTTAATTTGTTCACATTTACATGTGCTACAGTCAAAGTAAATAACATTGACTAAAAACAGTGTGCTTTTTTATGAACACCTGTACATCAACTAGTCACAAAACAAACCAGCTGACCAGTAATTCAATATACAGTATTTTATTGGTGTAGTCCTCAGAAACAGAGTGGGTCTTCAGAATCTGGACAGGTGAAGAGTGTAATTTCATTTAAGTGTTCTTTCTTATCAAAGTGCTGAAAGCCAGAGTCATCACCATATACTGCAATTACTGTGTATAATTATAATGGAAGATTCTAAATGTGTACTTTTTCTCTATTCTTATCTGAAAACAAGATCATTTTTCTAACATCTCTGGTATAAGATTATTTGTTTTGGTAAAATGAAGATAATCTACTTTTATGAGTTAAGGTGTGAGCATACAGTAAATGATCTTAATACACTTACTCCCCATGGACATACAGAAACACAGTGATCAATGTGTTAATACAATCTTATTCCATTGTCAGTTTTCATGATGTGAGCATAATCTGACTTTTAATTTGTTTTTGCTGTGAAATTATGCTGCTGTTGAAGATACATGGTGGATTACTGCAGTGATGTCACAACTATTAAATAATCTCCAGTGGTATTTGTTGTTTTTTTTTGCTTTCGCCAGTCCATGTTGATAATGATCTTTTTCAGTTACTTTTCACTATGCAGGCTAATTATACCAGAAAAAAAGTCCCTTTTATATATTTTTTTCTAAGCATGGAATGTGAAAAATGGGTCTTTATTGGACAAACTTAAATGCACAGTGCAACTCTAGTGGGTTCAGCACAGTACATGGTTAACCACCATATCTGTTTGCTATGAGTAGCTGTATATTTTTCCATATGAAACCAAACAGCATGGCAATAAAAAATAATGACAAACACAATATAAGAGGGTCACATTTAAGAAATGACACTGGAAACATTCAGATGATTCTACAGAATATTTCTTAAAAGGATTATATAATAAACTATGATCTTCTCATGTATATGTAATTTATTAATATTAATGTATTCATTTAAAGTGTCTTGAAACACCTTAAGTGAAGGTTGCCACAAGTTATAATTTTCCGGTTGTAACCTTCCGTGCCGGTCGTTTCAGGAGAAGAAAGGACAGGAAGCGCCGAAGGGCCCAGAGGTGGAAATTGCCAAGATGGAAAAACTCCTGAGTTTGCTGAGGGAGCCTGACAACTCTGGCAAAAACTGAAGATCAGAGGAAGGCAAAGAGAACACATGAATCCCCCAGACACTCCAAAACCCAAGCTGCATTTTATAAGAAAAAATAGTAGATGCTAAGTAAAGGATGCACAAAAGAAGCTATCAGCACAACTTGTTTTTTTAATATTATTTAAAAAAAAGAAAGCAAAAAAATACATGTATTTGATGGGGTTAAACAATTAAATATACATTAAACACTTTCACACTATTATATAATTTGTTTTAAAACTATACATTATAATCAATGGGTTATTCTAATAAATTAGCAAAAAAGGTGCAAACTAAAATGAAGTTTTGGAAAACATTATTGAATAGACTAGTAATAGTTTTAATTTTAGATTGTTAGTATTTTCTAATGGTAGAAGTAATGTCATAACATTGAGTCTTAAATCAATCTAAAAAAGTATTTCAACAGCATTACATCAGAAGTTACTTATTGATCAGTAATAGGTTTGCACAATCTTCTTGATAGCATAATAGCAGTTTGTGTTTTGAGTACTTAATTTTATAATATAGTAGTAGCTTCTTAAAACAGCAAAAATGATTATGAACCTCTGAGGAAATTATCTTCATTCCTTCTTCTTAAAAAAATACCTACAGTATATACCAAAAAAATTAAAGACAGAGAGTGAAAGTAGTTACCTAGTCATGTATTATGGCATTTGTGCCAAAGTTTAGTTTGTATTATGCTTTGTGCACAAAATAAATCACAGTATCTATGAAAATGTAAGGCAAAACACATTTAAAATAATCATATTAACACTTAAAAGGATCATGTGTCAAAAGACTCTTATTGGTAGCATTAAAAAAGCTTAATCTTCTTTTTTTTCTGCTCAAATATATTTTGGGATATAGCAAGATTTGGAAGCATTTGGGAAAGTGCTTTGCAGTCTCGTGGAAGAGCATGTGCCCATATGTCTTACCCAAGCCAGTACCAGCTGTTAACGTAGCAGCCTCTGGAATATTTTAATACAAACGGGCATTACTCTGGAGCTAAATAAGTATCCATTCTGTCAACAGTGAAACATTGACTGGCATTGACGGTAACAGCTTCCAAAAGTGAGCTAGAGCATCTGTTTGTTGCTTTCCTCACCACATTTAAAGATAAGGTACTGTACTGAAAAATAAAAATTACTACCAACAGAATCATTCACAAATAATACATTTAGATTTTTGGTCATGGAAAACAAACTACAGACATGCTCTAGAACTGTAACCTAAACATTTAACGCTATACATTTTGTGTTCCAAGACATTTTCTTCCATTTCTGGTGTTTGCTGCAGTTTAACACTCATGGAGCCTAACCAAGCCTCTGGATACACTTCTTGACCAGTTACAAGCAAGAAAGTACAGTATGGGCGCATCAGTTTTGCATTTAAAATGCACTAGAATATACCTAAACACCATTTCTCCCGCCACAGTTATATTCTAATTCCCCTCATGACTGGTAAAGAACTTTGGGTTCAAGTAAATAGATGATCTATTTGAGATCAGCATTTCTTGATGAAAGCATAAATGGATAATAAATCCAACAGATATAAGGCAATTGGGAATAAAGGCTTTATTGCCTGGTATATTAAAAGCCACTTTAGCAGAAAACTTTGTTTTAACGTTATGCCTACAGAATATTAAAGATGCTTTGTTAAGCTGCCAATAGGTATTTCTGTTCATTCTTTTGCCCTTCTTGCCCAGTGGCCAAGACAGGAACTCTCTCCTGATTAGAGGGTACCTTACAAGCTTTGTACAGGATCACAAAAAGGATAAGGATCAAGACGGCCACCAGAGAGTTGCATACAATGGCCACAATGGCGCCTGTGGAGAGCCCTGTGTTCAGACCAGATTCCATGAGGAAAGATGGCCCTGACTGAAGACTCCAGACCTAAAGAATGTGTGCTCACAAGTCTTTTAAAAATGCATATGTAACGATGAGGCACTCTAAATTCCAAGCCAGCACACAGAGAGGTTGGAACAAGCAGATATCAAAAAGACTCAGCTTCAAAGCTTTTCAGTCCATGTGTATTCATAACGAATGCTGTCTACTGGAGATAAAGTATTCTGTTATATTAACTTCAGCTAATTTTCCCTTACTTTGAATTCCCATATATTTTGTGTTATGAGATACCAAGGGTAATAAGATTTGCTTTAAAGATTTTTATTCCATCATCAACGTTATTGTGTGGCATCAAGAGTTACAACAGTTGGGCCAGCACATATCCAGTGTGGGCTTCTGCACTTTAGTTCAAAGCATCATTTGTTAATCCCTCTGATGTGCGGGCAGAGAACAATAAAGTACCAGTTTTGTCTTCTGTCCCAGATGAGTGACCAAATATAATGACTCACTGGATGGAGCTTCAGAGAGAAGGCTGTACCAGATGTGGTTACCCTTAGTTTTAATAACAGTTCTTCTTTGTCACTGGATGAAGTTTCAGAGAAAGACTAGACCAGATGTTTTTCCCCTTTGTTTAAAAGACAGTTCTTCTTTGTTTCCTGAAAAAAGCAAAACATATTGGATTATAGCTTTAAGAGAAGAAATTTACACAATGTTAACTTAGTTTATATTATTTAAGGCATCTATACATAACTATATGCTACTGTAGAAAGATCTTAAGGATCATAAACACAAGCAAGAGTTCAATATATGAATGATTTTATATTTACGATTTCCATTAGATTTCTGCTATTTTAACTATTCTTGTTATTGATAGGAAGGAATAAGAAAAAGGATTGAGTGATAAAGACTAATATTTATGACATTTAACCATGTAAGCTTGTTTTGTATTCTCCACAGACTATATCTTGGAAAACAATCCTTTTGATACCAAGACTATCTTACACCAGTAGGTTGTTAAAGCTACAGCAATTATAGAATCAAAGACCCATTGGTACATGGTAGCACAGCAAGCCTATTAAATAATGATGTACCAATAAAAAAAAACCAACACTGAAGTTGCTTAAAATGAAATGAAAGTGGTTTAAAAACAAAGCAGGCATTATCCACTATGATATGGACTGCACAGTCATTTTTGTAAAAAAAAGGATATAGACAGGGAGAATCAATCCACTGTAATTCTACTGTATATTTTTATGATCACTGTATTGTTTTATTTTATTGTAAAATTAGTTTTTAAAGAGAGAAATAATTAAGCATGACAGCATACAAATATAGACAACGATGGGGTGGTACTAAGCATTTGGCCATAGCGGTAGTTTTCAAGTCACCATCTGCTCAGTAAGCACTTCAGACTTTTTTGAACTGCATTTGATGTTCGAATTTTGACCCACTCCTACTGTGTCAAAGAGACACATTTACCAGCATAGATCGGCAGATGCTGAGTTTCTTAATTATGAGTTGTAATACAGATAATAAAGCACAAATCTGTTTATTTTTTTTTTCAAATATAAGTAAAAAACATTTACAGCCTTGTACATGGTAAGGCATTTTATGGGAGCATTTTGAATTCATTGCCTTGCTCAAGTGTATAAACAGCCAAGTTCCACCTAGGATGAGAACTCAGAACCTTCTAGTTACAAGTATAGAGCCCTAACCTCTATTTCCTTTCAGTGCGATAAAAAGTAATGTTCTGACTAATAATAATGATCAGAGCTGCAAAACCGGAAAATGGAAACCAAGTTTTCTGGATATTAATAAAAAAATATATGGATTTCATTTTTTACCAGACTGGGATAATGTAAAGTGCACAGGGACATTTCCAGCACAGGTACCTGTAACTCTGCATTAAGCTCAGAATGATCTCTTTCTCATTGACCTTTCCAAGGACAAAACTTGTTTACCACAGAGGTATGATTTAAATGCAGCTTAGAAAAGTAATGTTCTGCTTCTCTGTTGGATGTAAATGGAAATGAAGCTCTTTGAATCTACATAAAAATGGCGTTTCATGTTTTACAATGAGCAATGCAAGCCCTTCATCATGCAAAGCCAACAGAAACATTTGCAGCACCCTTATCTGTGAATCTGTAATAAACCCAGAATGATCTTTCAAGGACAAAGATTGTTGGCCACAGATGTATGATTTCCATGCCTCCTCATGCCACATATCCTGAATTTAACAAGGTAGAAGGTAATTAACATACAGTATGTGGGTACAACAAGTTTTCTTTTTTAAACTTTGAAAAGCGATTCTTTAAATACAGTATTGGCAGAGAAAGTAATATTAACAATAATACTCACAAGTGTGCTAAATTATAATTCAGTTCATTTTTAACACATCATAATATGCAATAGGGGAAAGATTTAGAATGCGATACTGACAACCCCACCCTGTCTGCCTCTATGTGTATAGTAAAGCAAAAAACGCCCAAAATGATCAGCTTGAATTTTCTGTATATATTTTTACTATACATTTGGAAAAATATGCTGCGAAGACGATAGCTCAAGCTTTCCTTTTATTAAGCAGCAAGTATTTTTAATGTAGATAGTGCAGAAGGGCCGCATGACTACACAACATTTCAACTCCTACAGGACACTGTCCACGTGGAATCTGGATGTTGTAGTGCTTAAAGTCAACGACAGGCAGTCACCAGGGATTTGCCCTAGATTTTAATCCTAATTTTAAACATATTACACCACTCATGTGAGGAGGAAAAGCGATGAATTATTTACACATTACTACTCTGCGATGCACTTGAGCATTGTGCGTTCCACTGGAAACAGAAAAAATAGAAAGGTAATATCGAAGTGCTCAGGAGAAACCTGAAGTATGTAAAAAGCAACAACAAAAAAATCACTGTGGAATAACAGTAATTTATTGCGCAGTAAGCTATTTTGACCTCAGGGTTGAAGGTATAACGTAGGTGACTATAGCACCACATAAACATCCTCCTTTTAGGCCTGCTCTGTATGTGTCAGATGTGGTGACTAAGAAATTCCACTGTTTTATCATTTTTTTCCTTCTAACCCAAAGCATGTTTACAGGTCTCTTAGAGATGCTGCAGTTAGAGCTATCACCAAAACAAAGAAAAGAAAACCCCTTAGCCCTGTGCAGTTGGCTGGTTTACAAACTCTTCCTGTGGTTTTAATATTGTCTTTCACCTTTAAAAATGCTTTGAATAGCATGTCAAAGTAATCATTTAATGAAGGTATTGATTCCATACACACCTAATTGCATCATTACATAGCAGGATGCAGTGTACAATATGTGCCTTGATATTTTCACATCTATTATGTTCCCTGCCATTCCTTATTTTTATTTGTCCAAAAGAATGGCAGAAATTAGTTGCATGCACTGACACACACAGTATTTTATTTAAAAAGGTAGCTTAGAGTGTGAAACTGTTGAAACACACTGTACGTTTCATTCCCTGAATATAAGGTAAAGAAACTCTTGGTCTACAGATGCATAGCCAAAGGCAACTCAAAAAAACATTTACAAGTAAAGTAAAGTCCATTGGTGCTTCTTTGTCAATTCCATTAAGGATTCTGAATATAATTAGGTCCCCTCTTACTCTCCTACGTCTTCAGGTTCAGTGCTTGTACTGTATACTGTACTGTATACTGTGAATACAAGACATTCCTTAAAGCAACAGAATGTAATCTAATTGCTCTCCCCTGAACTGATTTTAGAGCTGCAATTATACACAATATTCCAAATGGGGTCTCACTAATACATAATGCATTTTAACATAACATTTAACTTTAGTTTAAATTATATGCTTTTAACAACATATCCTAACATTTTGTTTGCCATTGTTTTTGCTTCCTCACATTGTCTAGCTAAAGAAAATGACACGTCAACATATATAGTTACTCCCTGACTGTAAATCAGACTTCACATACAGTAAGTCTCAGTCTTATTCCACATTGTGTTGTGTGCATCTTTTCTCATATGTACACATTGGAATAACCTCTGCTGTGTGCCTGCAGTGTTACTCTTTTGGCTGAAAAGCGTTCTAGTTAGAAAATCGAGCCAACCCTGAAGATTAAGATTTGTTAAGTTTTTTGCAAGGCTCCTTTTTTGGAGTTTTGTTATCTATCTAGCAATTGTCTCCTTTTTTCAACCGAAAGTGAAGCGGCGTGTGGGAAAGCAGAAGTGGGAGAGCAGGATTGCGAGATCACGGAGGGGGGGGGGTTATTACCTTTAGAGAGTGCCTGCAGGTCACAGAGGGGGGTCCAGAGAGAGAAAGAGCCTAGCATTTGCTTATCCCCCATGTGGTAAAAGACAAGAAGAGGTTTAACCTTCTACCATTGTAGAGGGGGGATGGGGAAGGCAAAAGAACATTTCCAAAAGTTCATCACCAGGGGGCAGAACGCTGCAGTACTGTAAGTCAAAAATAATAATAATAATTTGGTATTATTACAATACTGTAATTATAATGATAGCAGTTGTGAGTGTTAACGTACTGTAGAATTGTGCATCCCAACAAATTCTAATTGGGCACTTCTGCTCTCTTAAGGTATGAATACTCATTGGCTGCCAACAAATTAGTAAAAATCTTTTCTAGTACCCAGGCTTTCAGTCTGGTCAGAGACAGATGTCTGTCACACTCATTACACTGCTAAGACATTACCTGTTTCACATTCATCAGGACCATCTTTCTGGTGAGACATTAAGCCGAGGTCCTGACTCACAGATCCCCAGGCATTTCTCCATAAGAGTAGGGAGCTGAAGTTCAAGTTTATTTGTCAATCCAGCCATATACAAGCATACAGAGGAGCGAGATATCGTTCTCCAGGTCTACGGTACGAATACAGACAAGACACTGACAAGACAATGCTATAGACAATGTAGACATAGACATTTCTGACTGGGTACAGGGTACATAAAGTGCAATGTGCATAGTGCAATTGGTTGCCATCCTATGTCATAGTTCTAGCTGCTATGGTAGAGGGTTTCCCCCTCTTCCCTCACTCTGTTGGTGTCAAACTGTTGCAGTGTCTTCCCTCAACTCCTTCACCTCCCCAGTCTCCAAACTACTGTATAAACATGGTAGATATTCTGTGAACACTCCTCTTTTGGAGGCTCCAACATTAACGCAAGTGATAATTCACTATGGTTCCTATCCTGCGTCCATCAGCACAGTTTACCTCAGGCCACTATTCTGGTTTGCTGTAGTGTC